AGACCAACTGCCTAATTAGCATTTACAAATTAAAATGTTAAACATAAAGACATATTCCGTATACAGTCTGCTATATGTAAAACACATTCGTGCATAATACAGCAGTCAGCTGCAAACGTGAAGTTGACTGGCTTCCAGATATGTAGCGTTCTTGGCTAATGCGATCTGCTCTGGGTTTTTCAAGCTTACCCATAGTGTAGTTCATAGTTCTTATGACCACGTTGATAGCTGCACTAGGGATATTACACTAACCAATCTGGAGAAAATAGGAAAATACACAGATTACTTTTAAAGGCTGACGATAATAACGATAAACACAATAGGCAGGCGGATCATTTATCCATACCTTTTATTCTGAAGGCTTCACTCGGAACCTTATTTATTGTTTTGAGCATAACAAAGCATTTCGGGTTCTGTAATAAATTAGAACAATAATACAGAACTGCACATGCAAAGCAAGATGCCTTTATTTCCCGGCTGCATAATTTTGATATTACCCAACGTGTCTTGCTCAGGGTTCACCTCACACGGACTGTAATGAGAGTTGCCAAATGAATGGAACAATCTATCTGTTGACTTGAGCCCAACGTAGACACATTACATATGATGGAAACCTAATGCTCCCACCGATGTTAAAATCAGAGGGATACATACTTTCAATCCAGACCCTTGAACATGTAGATTTTTATTAATAAGAATAATTGTGCATGTAGCGACATTAAAAGGGGATTTACAAGTTGGAGTCTTTTAAAAGAGACTGTGAAAACCTTAGCCCTGCTTTTATTAGACATGATATCATTCCGATTTGCGTGCTTGCCATCTCAATGGCGTTTCACATGTGATAAAAAAAATCCATATGCATTACATAGATTTTCTTTTACACGCATAAGGACTGGAAGTCTTTTAGTGAATATGAGGGTGAATAATTGTGATACACCAGAAAACAGTTCGTGCAGTTTGGCAGCTCTGGTTATTATTATTAGATTTTTTGACATTTGAACTTGTCTATTGTCTGAGGAGCTCAGTGCAGATTGCAGTAGGTCAACCTTAAGGCTGCTCTTTTTGGCATTGCACACAAACATGCACACGCTGTCTGTTCTCCTTGTGTGAATACAGCAGCTAGAGTTTTATGGTGCTTTTTTTTTTTTTTTTTTTTTAATGCACATCTATTTATATTTATCTAATCCGCTTGGGGTTTTCACGGTCGTGTGATTAGTTTGTACGTGCCTTCATTTTACACCCATTCCTCCAATCTATACATTTGCCTGATGTTGGATACTTTTAAGTACTCAGTCGCTTTCACAGCAGTATAATTCCAGCATCACGACGTTTGATAAAAGGGACTTCAGTAGCCCTGGGATTAAATGACATATTTCCCCGCAGCTTCGCTCAACTCCATCATGACTCCTACAGTCAAAAGTTAAAGTTATTCATCATCTCCTTGCATTTATTCCCTCCTCCCCTCTCTAAATTCAGCCCCACCACCCGACTTCTGAAACAATTTCTTGCCGCCTGCCAGGAGTTAGGGGGGTAGCAGTGTGGGGGGCGGAGGCTGGAACCGAAAGCCCGCCGCCACCCCGCGTCCCCGGGGGGCGACCCCCGCCCCGCCGGCCTTTCCGCGGGCGCGGAACGGGCCGCGGCCACGCCGAGGTCCCGGCAAACGCCCTGCCGGGCGGGGCGGCAGGAGCCACTTCTGAGAAGGAAAACGCGAAATAGGGATGGATCCCCCTTGGGGTGGGAGGGGGAAGAGGAGCAGAAAAACTGGATCAAACCCGATAGGAAAGTCAGTTTGCACTGGGAAAATCTAGAGATTGCGTCTAAATAACTTTTCCCTGGAGTGATTTGTGCGTCTTGCTTTCTTCTGTAGTTTGTTGGGTGTTTTAAATTGAGGCTCTTTCCTCATCTGCCGGGGTGAAGACACTCGGTCCGAGCAACAACCCATCTCTTCTTGTAGCAGTCTGTCATTTAAATATGTATCTATATAGGTATGCATACATCCAGGCGCATACGTCTGGATTTGATCCCCCCTTCACTTCCCTCTTCCCTCTTTAACAAGAGCCTGATAACGCGTTTAAGGCTTGTTATTTGAACTCTCTGATCAGCATGCAGAAATGTAATTGCAACGTTTTTCATCAGGAAAGAAAAGAAAGGGAAAAGGGGGAGGAAATCCCCCCGCTCCCCTTCACACCCTTACACACACAGACACCCAGTGCTCTGTAATCGCTGAGTCACCGTATTGGGGGTCAGTGGGTAAACACGAAGGAGAGAGCAGCAGCTTATTGAAAACCCCGGCGCAAACCGCATCCCTCCTTATCTCCAGACTGTAGATCCCTCCCCTCCTTCTTCTCCTGGATTTATTACTCCGGACTTGGAAAAGAGTGGCCCGAGTGCTGCCAGAGCCTTTTTTGTGACACTGTATGTCCTCCTCAGGCACAGTGGGACCCGCTTTGTTCCGGCGAGGTGGAAGGAAGAAATTCAACATTAAACTGCTATTTGGGCTGCCGGGAATGGGCGTTGTTTTGTGGGCGTGAGGGGAGAAGGAGGAAAAGGGGGAACAACGGGCAGTTCACCTAGGGATATAAAGAAAGCTTTCCCTTTCTCTGGGGCTGGGCTCTGATCTGGGCATATTTACTTCTGTTTAAACGCTATTGTTCCTGCCAGCCTTTGACACAAACAGAAGGGGGGGGGGGGGGGGGGGGGGGGAGAGATGGGGAGGGGAAGGTGGTGGTGGTGTCTGGAACAAAGCTGCTCAAACCCCAGCAACCCCCAAAGGCAGAAGAATACTTCTCTTTTTTCCCCTTTAAAAATGTATGTGACAAGTCTTTCTGTTTGGCGTTGTTTTCTGGGTCCCCCCACTCTCCCTGTGAGCTGAGCAGAGTGCCTGGCTGTGATTCACTTACCAAGGCCCGTTTAGAGAGGTACATGTCCCCCTGGTAGGTGCCAGGGAGCCTCGGAGGGACAGCTTCTCCAGCCCCTGGGTCTGAAGGAGAAGACTTGAAATCGGTTTGTGGCAAGCCCTGCAGCGGGAAACAAAGAGGCAGAAATGTTGGGAGCCCAAGGAGGGCCTGAAACACAGAGAAGCATTGAGCTTCCCAGAGATGCTTCAGCTTCTCAGCGGGGGACAGAGCAGAATCCTTTTTGGGCCGTCTCTATGCATTTGAGGGCTGGACTGTACAGCCCACATTGAATCAGAGTCATTGTGTGTAAATGAATAAGTGCACATTGTTTTGAGATGCTGCTATTGTATTTGGGGTTGGGGGGAGGAGAAGGTTATATTTTGTGTCTGTGTGTGTGTGTGGGTCTATGTGCTTACGAAAGGTGAGTGCAGATTGCAATAGTTGCTGCTCTATTTTTGTTTGTCAAACAGGGCCCTTCTCTTGGGAGAGGGGCATGTGGCGGATCCCAGCCCAGGATTACATTAATCAAAGCATTATTTCCCCAGGGATGTGCAGCACAAATGATAGTAAATCCTAATAAAATTGGATCGCTGAGAAATTGAACGCTTAAAGTAATCTGCTCTGTCTGATAAAAACTTCAAATTTATAAGATATTATGCATCCCCACCCCCAAACACCTTAGGTATCATGACTATGTGTGTATTATACAACTATCTGTAGGAGAGAAATCACTGTTCAGTTAAACAGGCCCATCACTATTGAATATATACATAGATATAAATGTGTTTGTATGAGCATGCACACATATATTGCCCACACACATGCGCAGAGTCATAAAAGAAGCTAAAATATTTATGCACATAACAATAATGACTATGGTCAATATTGCCAAGACTTTACATGCAACACCTTCGCTGTGGCAGGTGCTATAGAAGGCTTGGACAGGGCTGCACATGGTTGTGTACCAGTGCTATAATCTTGCCTGGGGACTTAACTCTCTCTTGCTTTTTACTGACACTCATTATGGACCTCCATGATGGCACCTGTGATCTCAAGCCACTGAGCAGCTTTGCTTTTTAAACATGGGACAACAGGGGTGGTATGAAAATAATTAAAAAAAAAATTAAAAATATGTGAACATGAGTATTTGAAGCTGAATTTAGAAAGCTTTTGAGGGGATGAGCTTCAGAAGGAAACTGTTGGAGTGGATGGGAAGAATTGAGAGACGGAAAGGTATTCCCAGGCCAGGTATTAAGTCTCAGACATGCAGCATACTGTGCCCATAGTCTTTCAGTACAGGGCCAGGCCACCACCTTGCTGACATGGGCCAGCAAAGATCAGCTGGCCATTCGCTAGCTTCAACCCTCAGTCTCTGCTACTTCCTCTCTGCAGAAAGAAAGTTTATTTATAATTACTGCCATAGGACATGACAATAGGCTCAAAGAGATCCACTGTCCAGCAGAAAAAGAAAAAATTGCTTTCTCTCTCCCCCGCCCCCCCTCCCCACCAAAGATCGCTGTGCTTCCATATGTGTAAGGGGCAGAAGGCATTTCCACTCACCCAGCTGAAACTCTTTGAAAGGCTGTGAGCCTCCCCCGGCGTTATAAATGCCGATCATTCCTCCTACCCTCGCCGTCCCAGGACCCTGTTACCCCCGCGGGAGCTGGCCCTGCCTCGGGCCCCGTTCGTGACCCGTCCTGCCTACTGCTTTGTGGCCGACGAGCTCCGTACTCCTCTCCCTGCCCCTGTCCTTTCTGGCATCGCTAGGCAGACCGAAGGCGGCTTATCCCTTTTCCCAGCGTGGGGTTTTCCTTCCCCGTCCCGGCCCCGGGGGCTTGCGGAGAAGGGCGGGCGGCGGTGGTCCCGACCCCACAGCGCCCCGCACCCTGCCCTGGCCTGCTGGTATCTGTCCTCCCCGCCTGCAGACAGGGGAGCTGAGCCCTCTCCCAGCCCCGAAATGACGCAGCCCCTGTTCCAGCATCGTCTCCCGTTTGGGCTGGCTCCATTTCAGAAGCCGTCTCCCTCCACCCCCTTCTTCCCAGCCTTCCTCCTTCCTCCTCCTCCTCGCCACACCGTCACTCTCAAACACCCCCCCCCCCTCCCCACGCCTCGCGCCCGCTTCCCCCCGCCGCCCCAAACTCCTTCCTCAGGACCGTGGGATGCGGGTGAGCTCTGGTGAGAGTTGCCGGTCTCCATTTCTAAGCGGGGAGCCGCCGGGAGCGGTGAGGCAGCCGTGACGGGGGGGGAGCGGTCGGGGGGTTAGGGAGGCGGAAGGAGGGGGGTCCGCACCCCCTCTCTCCCCATCTGGAGCAGCCGCTGGTCCCGGGAAGGTGCAGCCCCCGGCCCCGCGCCCCTCGGTGGGCAGCGCTGCCCCGCGCCGGCGCTCCCCTCGCCCTGCCCCACGCGTGTGCGGACGGTGCGGGGACGCACTCACCTCGCCACCGACAGCGCCTTTTCTCACACCCTCCACCCCCCCCAAAAAAAACCCCAAAAAACCCAACAAAGACCAACTATTTGCATAGCGTTCGGCACCTCACTCAGTATTTATCCCCACTTTTTTTATCACCCGTCTACCTCCGCCCAGACCGACCCTTCTGCCCCACCCCACTCCCCCGCATCCCGGGTGTAACCGGATGGCAAAAATCAAAGCTGGCTCCAATTTACCCCAGTTGTCTTCCTTTGAACACTCATAAGGTAGGTATGGTGGGATGCTGCGCTCCCACTCCCCATGTGCTCAGTGAGGTGCCTTCCTCTCCACCCTCTTCCCCCCCCGCCCCGCTCTCTGTTCCTTAATTGGCTGTATCTTGATGTGCACTTGTTTTGTTTAGCCTATTTTACCATTGCGGACGAGATAGGCAGGAAAAGGAGTGTTTGACTTGGTATGTCTCTGATTTTTTTTTTCCCCTCTCTCCCTGCCTTCCGAAGTTAATTTGCATTCGAGGTCTAATCCATGTTTCAAAACCCTGCCATTTGAGGACTGTATAGGAACAGGGCATTCGTTTCTATTTTTGAGGAGGAGCCTCTCCTGCATTTGCTCCTTTTTGTATAATTTCATTGTGTTCACAAGTGACAGGGATCTGCATCAGTTATTTTGCAATTCATTTCTTAAAAGAGTTGATAAAATTTTCTTATTTTTAGAATTGCAGAGGGAGCAAATACTAGGCATTGGAAAAGGAGCATACATTATTAACAATGTTGCAAACTTAGTCACAGACTATATATTCATATATATGTATTAATCTGGGTTCCTTGGAGTTGAATTTCTGCCTCCTGAACATTTGATTTTGATGAGAGAAATCAGCCAGAGAAAGTCAATTATACAAATACTAAAGTGTATTTTTAGTACCTCACATCTATTTACAGGTGATTTTACTGCTGTTTGCTACTCTTGCTCCAGCACTTAGTAATTATTTGACTCCAGCAAGGCATTTCATAGGATTAGATGCTGCTTTACTCATTAAAGAGTTTTCAGTTTATCCAGGTGTAACTTTCATCTGCATCTCTGGAAATAGCTATGAGGCCACGTGGACTTTATGTAAAAAGTATAAAATATAAATGAACATATAAAAAGATTAGATTGTATCCATGGTTCTTTGGATGTGATGGAGAATCCCTCTGTGTTGAGGCTTTTATGGGTCCTTTAATAACTTTCACATATTTTATTTGTATCTATAAATGAATTTTCTTTTTGTGTGTAGTGATTACATGGATGGCATATGTTACATAATATTCATATGAAGCCTTTCGAGTATTTCTGTATGCACACAAATTTATTTTTCACAAATATATGTCTGTGCATACTATGCGTTTATACATGAGTGTGATAAAAAACATGCTGGAAGAGAAAAACTGCCCAAAATAAAAAATATGCATGAAGGAAAAGCCATTAAGATAGTTCACTGGGATTTGGTATCTGGTACATTGCAAAAGTTACTTTAGTTTCAGACTTTACTGTAAACACCTACATATAGCCCCATCTCAGCATAAAAATCCCTGTGTGTATTTTGCCCTTCTAGAACTAAATGGGACTATGAATTATGCCTAAAAAGATGCCACTGATATAAAAATCTTATAAAATAGTAATACAATATGGAATTTTGTATAGTGCCAACAACTTTAGCACAATTCTTGGCATAAGCAATTTAGTGCAATTTTATTTGTCTGAACCAGAATGATATTACAAAGTGAATTAATAGAACATTAGTATTGAAAAAAAGAAACAGTTCTTCCTTTGAAATATGAAGTGCCACTAACTTGAGATGAAACCTGAAAGTCAGTGAATAATATATGGGAAATATTAATATTTTAAATGTATCATATTTAAAATTGCTGTGAACTTAAACAAGATTTCATATCAAGAAAAACCAAGTAATTCATTTTAGGTTCTAATCTTATATGCAATGTTTTACAAATGAGGCAACTCACTAAAGGAGGGAAACCAGGTATGTAAGCATATCTTGTTATTTTGCACATGAAATATGGTCATTATGGAATATGAATTTAATTTTGGAAATTATAAAAAAGAATGCTTATTTTATTTTTTCTACTACGATTCAAGAAAAACAGTTTTAAGTAGATGATTAATTAGATGAAATGGACTAATATGGCCCATAATACCTGTATGGGCTTTTATACCTTGTGAAACCCCACCACAATGGGACCTTTATAAAAAGTATGAAGTCAAGTAATACAATCATATTTTATATTTAGAACGGGAGTTGATGTGATCCAGTTTAATGTTGTGAAAAAGTGAGCCCTCTGGCACTTAGCATGAAATTATTTTAAAATTACTCCTTCAAGTAAAGTTAGTAGAAAGACTGTACCATGGTTGAAGCCCAGCACTAAAGCTCAGGGGCAAACTGGATGCTGCTGCTTGCCTTGCCATCCGTTTAAGTGCAGACAAGGTGCTGCCCTTGGTCATCTCCTTAGTTCAAGGTCTATTGGCTCCACTATTTCACTGTCCTTCTCCAACGAGTGGGTACAGCTCAGCATGTGGAAGCCAAACCTGTGCTGCTCAAGATGGGCCAAATCTTGCTCGTCCCATTCATTGAAGTCATGTGGAGCTTTGTTTGATTGGAATGAGCAGGATCTAGCTCTCATTCTGCTCCCTGAAGTATTTCCATTAGACCTTAATGTCAACTGAGAGATTATTGTTTCATTTATTTGATGTGAATGGAGTTAGGTATGAAGGCCACACTGATCTTGCCCTTACGCCCCAGCTGCCTAAAGGTTACATCCTATACACTTTGACTAGTGAATCAGGCCAGCAATAATTCTGGTCACTAGATAAGTAGAATGTGCATTACTGAGCATTTTGAATGCTCAAAACACCTCATACCCGCGTCTTTGCATCAAAGCAAGTGCTGGACGTGTATGAGCTTAGCAGAAAGGGCAGTTGTGTGTTCTGGGAAAGAGTTAAGGCTGCCATGAGGACTGTCAGCACTTGTGAGGTGTCTTGTTGAAGGACACAAAAGCCTGGTTAGTCTGTAGACTGGCTCCCACATAGCCAGTTGCTCCCACTATGAGCTTGTTGCAGGTGCCACAGAAGAAGACAGGGTGGTGATGGTGGGGAGGGACACAGTTATCACTTGCTACACAAGTGGATCTTTTTCTGTCCAGTTTTGGCCAAAGCTCTGGGACATTTGCTATAGTTCTCTCAATTATCTCTCATTAATTTCAATAGCTTGTGTTTTCATTGCAAATGCCCAGTGTCCTTTGGAAACTTACTATGGGTATTTTAAATTCAGAATAACTGTGGTGAGAAAAAACCCAGGCTTTTCCTTTTTAAGCAGTTTTACCATTTAATCACAGTTTGTTTAAATATGCATTTCTCTGCTGTGAAATAACCTTTCTTTCCACATTTATGTGCACAATCCTAACTCATAGCAGAAAAAAACATTTTAAAACACTGTGTCATGCTTATAGGATAATTATTAATCTTGTCAGAATAAAAAGCGTACTAAAAGTATTCCATACAAAGGTTTGTGCCTCAACATTTTTGAGAGTTTTTTTTAAAGTAATCAGAGATGTCATAACAGGGGGAGAAACCATACGATATATACCATGTAGTACAAGACTTCTAGAGGACTATTTAGAAATACACAAAGCTTATTTTTTTTCCTTTTGGTTAGCAGACTACTTGATGAAAAGGTGTGTTTTTATCTTTATTCCTGCTTGTGTCTTACAGTTCTATGAAGGTGATGGGAAACTACAAATTCCAGACTTTAGTTGTTATATATGATATAAAACTAAGGAAGAAAAATCCTCATAATACATATCTGGAGGGAGAAATACACAATAATCATGCAATTTGATAACAGAAAGAATAATTATTTGACATAAACCCAATGTTAAATACAAACAGAGTAATATTGTCCTAGTGAAAAATATAGCAAATAAAATGATGCTACAAAAAAACACTTATGAAACTTCCTCTATGTTTAGAACTTTTCCAGTTGAGTTTTCCTTTTTAATAATTTGTGACCACTGAGATATGGTTAGTGAACAAGCCAGTCAAAACTTTTTTGTCTTTATTTTCCTAGCCCGTATCTACAAATCCAAAAATGTAACTTGTAGTAACTGCACTTGATGTTAGGAGGGTGATTTTGCTGCTTGTTTGCTTGGATTTTGCTCAAGACTTGATTTTGCCTACCCTGACTCATGCTGAAATTTCTGGTGCATGTGAGCAGTGTTTGTAGGGTCATCTACTGATTTTGTGCAAGAAGGACAGCTTTTCATACTGGGGATTCTGATAGAAACAGAAAAGGGATACTGTAGGATAGCGACTATTTTTCAAGGACGTTGGGCATTCACTCCTTCATTTAAGTTCAGTGAGAACTGTGAAAAATCAATATTAAAAAAAAGAGCAAATTTTTCTTTAGAAAGTTAAGTTTTACGGAAATTTGACTTGTGCATCTCTGGCTATAATAAATAGTAAAATTCTATAGCTGGAAATGTCTGTTTTTATCTTTGTGTGGGTTTAGCATTAGCTATACGTATATAAAATGCAAATGCACCTTTCCTCATGTGATAACTGTTTGCTTTGCCTTTTTCTTTGAAGAGGTAGAAAAAATTATTAAACTACTACTGCTCTGAAAAAAAACCCAAACAGACAGAAACAATAGAAATTATTGTTCATTACTCAGGTAAGAAAATAAGGTCTGTAATCTGCAGAGGGTAAATTATGATTTTATATGCTGCTGATTTGCCTTTCTGAAATTAGGATCCTTGTACTGAAACTCTTCCAGCTATTTTTATTACTATTGTAAAAGAATGAGATGCAGATTTCACACACCTGTTAGAGGGACAGCTTTTTGCACTGTGATACTCTGAAACCTAAGGAAAATACAGCAAACTTTTCGGGGAGCCACCAATGGCTGGGGAGCGGAGAGTATCTGCACATGCTTCTGTGCCAGTGAATGCTGTAGCCAGTTGTGTGCACCAGGGGCTATGGGTTTTCTTTTCAGAAGAGGACTAGCAGAAGAACCGAAAGCCATGACTAGTTATTGATCCAAGTCCCCTCAGTGCAGCACTGTCAAGTTTTGGGATCAGTTTTGGCTGAATGGTATTGAGCTGCAACTGGGAAAGGAACCCAATCCAAAGCTCTTTCCACCCCCTGTGCCCACACTTGGGGAATAATTCCTTTATCTGCAAGTGGTGGTTGAAGCTGTGACCCTCCTTCCAGCAATGCCCAGGACAAGCTGGCCCCAGGGCCCCCAGCAGGAGCTGGGGTCTCTGGGATGGGGGGGGTGCTCCGCTTTGTTGTGTGGAACCCGTAGGGACAGGGCTTCCCTCCGCATCCTGACGCCAACTTTGCGCTTTGGTTTCATCTCTAATCTCTCTATTAGGGTTTTTAAAATTTTAAATCCTGGCTTCAGTTAGAAACAATTGGACTGTGCTCAGCACTGGCTGTCTTGGTAGGTTTGAAGTTCCTGGGAAAACTCAATACTGGCATTTTCTAAACACAGTAAGCACACTGGAATATTAATAGGTGAAACATTTTAAAGGGGCAACACCACTTTGTAATTTTGCCTGTTAAAATATATCAGCTAGGGGCAGCTTGGGGGAGTTGTAGTAAAGCCATAAGTGTTCTTCACAATTTAGAGCTTCTGAATTTTAATTATTTCTTTTTTTTCTACCACTGTAAAAGATCCCTGGAGACAATGGGGCTGTGACACTTAGCAACAGGTTATCCTCACTGTGCAGGGAGCACCATAAAAACCACAAAATGGACACACAGAATAAAATACAACACCCGCTGCCCCGTTTCCCAGTTTCTTTACGTTCTGGTGTTAGAGTAGTTACACTATATCAGCGGTGGGTAAAAAGGAAAAAAAACCCCAACCAAACAGATGGAAATGTCTCTAAAATTACAGAGTCTCTGCAAATTGCTTGAAGAACTATCTAAAATAATAATAATAAAACATTCTATATTGTTCTGGACTTTATTTAAATACAAATTTATGGAGCTGGTCACATAATAAAAATTGGAGAGTTTGGCACTGTAGTTGCTTTGGTGTATTTTTCACCATTGTAATGAGCTACAGGGAAACAAAGAAGGATATGAATATAAGGCAGTTGATATTTAGATTTGTGTGGCACTTTCATGTGTTGAAAATGTCTTTTAAAAAATCTATTTTTCTTCTATCGTGTTATTGAATTGTAGAAGACACTGAGATAGAAAAGCTGGAATTATTTAATAACCAAAATGAGGAGTGGTTTTTGTAGTCTATTTCTTATATTTCTCATTGCCAACCTCTTGACTGATAAGGAATTTCAAGGTCCAGACAAAACTCACCCATGGGGTAGAATAGGCTGTTAGAGAGTGAGATGATAGATGGATCTATTCCTCACCTTCCAAACCCAGTTTCTTTATAAAGCAATAGAAAACAAACCTTTTCATAGAGCATCAAAAAGCAAGCTCAAGAACAACACTACTACTATCACACCTTTCACGGCATTTTTTTTCAGGCATCTGCCCCTGATTTTAATCCAAAGGAGCTGCTTTTGGAACTGGCGTGTCCGGCTTTGGTGTGTGCCTGCTGAGGAAGAGGTATGCCCTTTGTCCCTCACCTGCAGATGGCTTGGATGCTTTTACTTTACCGAGGCAAGCACTTCCCAGTGGGCTGCATTCAGAAAGTGCTTTTCATAGCATTAGTACAGAACCAAGTTACAAAAGAATATTAATCTAATACATTCCAAAATTCAAATATGTGTGATTAATAAGCATTATTATCTATAAATAAGGCTATAATGATACTTTGGCAGTGTTGTAAACACAAGAATCAGAAGCAATTATTGTCATTATTGTTCTGCAAGTACCTTCCATGAATACCAAATGGATATTACTGTCCAGCTCTTTGGCACATAGAAATCCTGTAAAGAACAGTTGTCAGTCAGTAAGGCCTGGCCGGCTGCTGTTAACTACGTTTGTGTAAAATGTAGTGTACCTAAAGACAAAGCCGATGAGTTACTGAAAGCAAGACGACTGATTAAAAAAATTATTCTTTGTCCTTTGCAACACCCAAAATTATGTTAAATAAAGCCTATGAGAAAGTTTTCCCATCCGATGAGATGAACTGTCTGGTTGTGATTAAAAATGGAAATGGACTCTCTGACAAAAACACTGCCCTTCTTTGTGTGAAACACACAAAGGTGAGGATGTCCCAGCTGAAAGGTGGTGTGTAAATAATGACAACATCCCCCCACCCCCCAGCTGTAAGAGGTAACTCTGGACTAGTTTTCAAGGACAGAAGATGAAAGGGGTCTTAATCCTCACCACATTTACCTTTCCCCTGTTCGTACAGGTCCCATGGACTGGAGTCATGCTGGTGGCCGGGTCCCACTCTCTGTGACACCCCCACTCGCCTGCCTTTGGCAGTCTCACCTCCCTCACCAAACCTTGCTGCTTTAGATGGCGCCAGCCAGCAGCAGCATTTTGTGGTGGGTGTTATGTTGTTCTTCGGATGCCAGGGTGTCATTGCGAGCGGGAACAGTGTGGGTCTGACTCTCCGAATATGCAGAAAGAAAAAGTAAAAAAAAAAACCAACCAAACCCCAAACAGTAAGCTTTACTTTCCAAATGTGTTCAATTCTTCTTTTCTCTCCTTGATATTTGGGGCGTGCGGCACCCTATACCATGTGGTTTAACATTTTGTTCTCTATTTGTAGGTCAACATTTCCATGATTAAACTTCATCCTTTATTCAGCCTGTTCTGGCTAGGCTTTGCAGCACATGTGATATAAGCTGTTTTCACAGCTAGTAGGCCAAATCTTACTCTGAATAAGGGAGCCAAACATATGTGACTGAGTCAGACACTTAAATCAACTCCTTGGTAAATGGGAGATAACTCCAGGTGCAGTGATGAACACTGAGAACCAAAAAAGTGGGAAGGGTGGCCAGCGTTCCTCTGTGTAGGAAAAGAGACAGCCTATGCACACAGGCAGTGAAATCATAGCCCTACCCAAATTTTGCTCTCCTGCACTTGTTTGGGGTCACAGAGCCCTCTTCACTGAAGTAATTGGGAATTTTTCCATTCAGGGTCAGGCCAGCCTGGGGTAGGCTCAGTTGCATGGAGCAGGCTGTGCAGGAGGGGGACAAGGCAGCAGGAGGCGAGCCCACCTGACGTTGGCAGCACACACAAGAAGGTTGCTGGGGGAACATGGAGTACTTCACCTACAGCATTATGTTTCCTTCACTTGCCCTCCCTCCATCTCCCTTACCGATCTCATTTACGGACCAAGGCTGGTGGCTCTTCTTTCGCTTGGTGGCAGGTATCGGTTGCTCGAAGTCCATGAAGTTGGACTGGGCAACCTATCCACTTAAATCAGTGGAACAATTCCCAGAAGCACTGCCATCCAGAGAGAGTGTGACCCACCAGTAACCCCTAGTGCAGAGGATTTTTTTTAAAGGACTCTGGCTGCCAGGCCAGCAGCCCTCTTCCTGTCCTTCTTTGCCATTGCCTGGCAATTCTGCTAAGTTGTGGGAAGCCTAAAAGGCTCATCAGGCACAAACAGAAGTGCCGGAGGAGGAAGGGATGTCATAAATTATTTAGACCTGCTGTGTGGTTGCTGTGTGATGTTCCTATCTTCACCAGAGCTGGACTGGTTGGGGCTGTTGGGTTGCTATGCAGCAAGTACCAGAGTGAAGAGCAAGAGACCTCCTGCAGGAGGTCCAGAGAGGACCTATTTTCCTCAAATGGACATGGCTGTACCCATAATATTATAGAGAGAGGATTGTGCTTCATGTATAATTTGGTGATGAACTGCAGCATCACAGAGAGAACTTGACAATTAACCATTTCTGTCAGGAACAAGCACTTCCAGAATTACAATGGGGCTGCCTCCCTCAGCTAAAGGAAATACAGGCAGCATAGCAGGACTTTCAGTGACTTTCGTGTGTGTGTTTTTTTTTTTTATTGCATCCATTCTTTTGGGTTTGTTTATTTATTTGCTTAGGTTTTTTTAAATAGCTTTTTTTTTTTTTTTTTCATTTAGGAAGGAAAACATATCCTGCCCCCAAAAAAATCTTATTGCTAGATCTTTGGTGAAAAAAGGTCAAACATTGATTACTGTGGCTTTTTGAGTACTGTGTTATTCATAGTTTAGAAAGTCCTGTCCTGATAAGACACACAGTAGACAACACAAATAAGATGAAGGTTATGCACTAGTCTGAAGTTTTGTGGACCTGCCTCATGGCTGGGCAAATCCCTTGGCATGTATGTGGACATCTGATCCACTTCTCTGCCATTATATTGAGAAGAAAAGCCTGATGGCTATGAGATGTTACCAAGGATCTAATAGAAGACACTTGCCTTCAGTGCTTGTCATGCAGTTAGGGGAGGATGTACAGAATGAGGCACAGAAGCAGATGATTTGGTCCAATGTGCCTTGGGGATATGGAATAGTGCAAGGCAGGGGTAGGATGAACTGCACACTCCTGGAAAGCAAGAGGGAGAGTACCATGATTCTGCCCTCACCGGAATGAAAGTTAATCAAGAATATGCTGGAATAAATCCCTATGTGCATCAAAGATACATCAGTATCAAATTAATGGAAAGGAGAAGGGAATTTAGGACAGCTAAGATCTGCTGATAGGGTCAGGTGACCTCCCTGTCCTTAGGTCTACATTTTGGAAACACAAATTGTACTTTGGTTTCACTTTTAAATGTGTAAGCCAAATCGTGATGCTTACAGAGACCAAGAAGATTGGAAGAAGATGGGAAAGTCCTGTAATCAGGGAGTGAAAGGATTGCAGCAGGGTATGGTGAAGTTAAGCAAAGAAAATTAGAATTTTTCTCCCCAGTTATTTAGAGAAAAGGAGTAAATCTCCATTTTCTTATGCTTAAATAACAGTCCCCCTCTTCCATGGTATAAAAGATCCCAAGATCAGGCAGGAATGAATTAGGACTGTGGTAACAGACATGATTTCAAGTTAATGAAGAGACAGTATGTTTTGTATTATCTTTTCTCTTGTTTTTGATTGCCGTTTTTGGGGGGTTGATATTACTGTAAGTAAATACATTTGTCTTTTGTTTCATTTTCCCCCTGTGACCTATTTCATTTAATTAGAAGGAAATGCATAATAGGAAATGAGTATCATCACACTGGGCTCCATCCAAAGCCCATGAAATCATCAGGAACATTTCCCGGGCTTTTCACTATCACTGCGTCCAGTCCAGCAGAAAAGAGGGCCTATTTCCACCTTATCTGGAAGAATGTGTGTTGTCAGTGTAAAAATATTACAGTTCTTATTTTAAGGTCTGGCCCCAATACTAGGGAAGGATTTTGCTACTGCGTGTGCCTCTCTGTGCCACATGTTTCACATCTGTGGCAGCACATTAAAGGATAAAGGTTCCTAAAACTTTAACTCTGAATATACATATAAAAAGAAGATACAAATTAAGGAAAAGATAAAAGATATTGATGGAAGTACAGGAGATGCTCTTTAACATGCATATTATTGACTCAATAGATTGTTACGGCTTCAGAGCTATTAGGGTCTGCTGTGTCAATGTGTACTTAGGGACTGTTTAATATGCAGATGGTTGACATGACAGACTGGAACCATTACAGTCTATCATGTCAGGGGGGATACATGAATACGCACTTTGCCAACACTGTAAAAAGTCCCTTTAAAATGCAGTAGCTGTTTTTTGCAATAATTTAATAGGTTTGGTTCTTTGGATGCCCAGAGACTTGAGAGTCAGGATTTATCAGCAACAAAATTTATTTCCAAATTAAGTCATTTTCCATGTGGAATGTGCAGTCTGGAGGACCGAGTGTAATCTCAGATACACAGCTCCTATCAAATCTTGTAAAATTAGCTACTGCACTTGTGCGTGTGTAGAAGAGATCAGAATCTATCTGTCGGCATGTGTCTTTTTGAATAATATAGTTTTGTCTTTTTGAGGGGTAAGGGAGAATGTCGTCTCATTTTTCATTCAAATAATCTTCAGTAGCAATTAAATAGCTTATGCTACCTAAGAGATCAGTTATTACAAGATAAGCAGCATGACAGTTTGGAAAACTGAATAAGTCTTTGATTATTTACTAAGTTTTGATATCTGCTATTTGCCTCAAAATGCTAAAAAGTGAAGTATAAGATACAAACATGAAAGGCTCATTTGATCATCATAAGGAAAGGAATCAGTAGTTTTGCTTTTCTTTTCCTCAACAACTTATTTTTTATTAAAATAGCAAAGCCAAGTGTTGTGTTTAATAAGATATATTTTTTTCATTTGAATATCAAATAGAAAAATACAATTAAAATATTTCTGCTTTTACATTAATCGTAGGCTATATTTCAGCAATGCATATATCTAAGAAGCTCAGCATACACATTTGGTATATATTAGATGCTTCTAACAGATGCCCAGACCTCTTCCCCCGATTTTTAATGTTCTTTTTTATGGCAGTGGTCCAGGGACATTTTAATTTGCAAGCCTGTGAACTTGGAAATAATACTTGTAGTGGGGCATTATGTCTAGTCCATTCCCTCTAAGTTTATTGTCCTGTGTCACCTAGCTCTGATTTTAGCTGATTTGCTGAACAGACTTGCATGGTGCAATTACAGCACAAAATTCACTGGGCAAAAGCACTCTGCCTTGCAAATAATAGTAATTGTACAATATTACAAAGGTCTTTCCTCTTATCTGTGGGAGAGTTGGGGGACAAATTCCACAAAAATTTGCATTTTTAGGCAAATGTGATGGCTGATTTCTGACAGCTCCTTTTACTGCCTGGTGCAGTAGAACAGGGAGACCATGGGGGCAGTCTGGCTGTGGTGTGATGGGTAGGGCAAGTGCCAGGAGGTAGAAAGTGCAGAGAGCACGTTTCCTACAACCTGTTACACAAGTGCTCCTGGGTCTTCTGTGAGATATCTGCAATGACACAGGAAAGCCAGGAAGAGCTTAGGGAAAAAGAGAGGTCTGGAAAAGCCCAGGAGGTGGCTTCTTACAGCTGAATTTACGCTGTGCTTATGGAAAGGTCCCTAATAGGAGATATCTCTCCCTGGTGCTGAGTTACCTCTGCAACAAGGGAGGACCAAGCAGCAGAAGCCTGAGCTGCAGGAAAATGTATTGTAGCTTCAAACTGCATCAGTACCTGTGGGAAAGGTGAGCTTTGTTCCCTCCCCAGCTCTGGGATGGTGGGCACATCCTTGTGGCAGTGGGTTGTGACCATGGCTGTGGGAGTGGCAGCTCCCACAGCCGTTCTGCCTCCACCTCTGGCCTCATGTGGCTGTCCAGGCCACTCTGCCCTTCTCCTTCCCCAGTGCAGCCCTGGAAGTTCCATATCCCTGTCTGTGTTACCCATGTGCAGGGAAACATCATCAGCTGAAAGATGCACGTATGAAGGTATGATGTGAAGCACTGTGTTACCTGGTGCTAATCAATAAAGCAAAAATGTAGCTTTTGACAGCACTTGTAATTTTGACTATTGCAATGGTGTGCCATTTCTTTGAATGCAGTACGCTTCTGTGCCCCATTAAAGCATGGCTGGCATCGCTTTCAACTATTCACAAATGCTGAGATGTTGAAAAATGTAACATTTACAAAAGATACATCTGGTGTATATTTACAAGGCTCAGGAATCATTTAAATAGTGCCTGTGCCATCACCATATTAGGAGAAAAGTTAGTCCCAGCCGCATATGTGAAATCAGTAGTCAAATGTGTGCTGGTTGAAAGTCCATTACTGTGATATGGTATTTTGGGGTATTAAACGTGAAACTACTAACCCGGGTATAATGCTCAAATTAGATAAATACAGACCTGCATAACATACGTGATAACTACCTATAAGCACCTGTTTAAACAGTGTGGTCAGAAGAGGGTTATGGGTTTTGAGGGATAAAGATTTAATTTTTTTTTAAGTAAAGCACAATCTTTGGCTTCTCATTGCAAGGTGTCATCATACCTTTTTCCCTGTTGTTTAGTGAGAATGGTAAGACCTACCTTGGAATCGAGGAAAAAGCTATTGAACAGCTTCCTTTATATCACATAACATGTCAAGGACAAAAAGGTGTTTGTCTCCTCCTGCCAGTGCAGTACCACTTAAGTTACATTTGTAAACTATTTTTTAATTAATGCGATGGGTCATGTTTTCACCACACTAAGGCAGGAAATTCAAGGTAAACCAGATACTCCCTTTCTCACTCACACAAACATGAATTAAGCATGTAGCATCAGACTTAATTTCAATTTCTAGGTGTGTAATTGAATCTAGCTCAATGTGAACTCTTTTTTTCTGCACCATCTCATTGATATCTGGATGTTAGTGACATTATTTAAAGCAACAAATCAACCTATAGGACTGTGTTCAACTATATGTCGTTTGACAGTAAATGGAATAAAAAAATGTTACTTTTCTCTAGGGGCAGATTTGTTAAAGGGTTTTCATCTTTTGTCAAGATATTTAATCTTGGAATGTTACAAAAAAAATGCACAGTTTGTACAAGTGCAGATTTCTGCATGCACAGTTTGCCTGATTGCTAATTTGGCTGAACACACTTAGCTTTAACTCACACAAATGAGAGAGGAAAGATAATTTTTCTATACATCCTTCTGAGTCAAGTGTGAGTTGCTGGACTCTAAGGGAAGCAGGTATCCACTTTTGGGGCTGAAGGCTGTCACTCTGGATCACCCTGTACATCAGTCTCAGTTCACGCATGCCAAAGAGAACAAATCCTAGCAATGAGTTGTTGAGTGATGCCAGCAGAAATGAATGTTTCTGAAAGCTTCAGGCTTTTGGAGAAAGCAGCTGAAGCCAGCTCTGTGGCACTCACCACTGCTGCCTAACTGAAGGAGGGCAAGATTTTGGCACAAGCCTCCCATGTAATGGACAGATTTGAACACACCTTTGTTTTTCAACAGGCTGAGTAAAGCTGGTATGGGACTATAGAATTAAGCCAAAATGCCAAACCATGTTATTTCCTCAGAGGGGCTCACTAAAGAACAACTTTAACTAAATTATTAGCGCTACTAGTAATTATTATTATTAATTCCTTTTGGTAAGCCTGTCCCTCCATCACAGTAGCAATCACGTGCTGGGATGTCTACTGCTTAGGACATCATACTCCTTTGGAAGTGGATGCTTGTTTAATTGATAGATTGCAAAGAAGGTCTGACCTATTGCCTTTTCATGTTTTGCTTTGTTTCAGTTGCCTGGACTCTCACAGCTCCTTAGTAGCTTTTCTGATCCATCATGTCAGGCTGGCAGCTGTGCCTCTGCACTGTGCCTGCCTGCCCACCGTGTGCCAGATTTCACTCTCAGATGCTTGGCATGCCCTCCTCCCTCACTGCTCTCTCACTGGAGATCTGGTTTTGCCTTCACTCTATTAAACGCCTTGGTTTTAATGGGAACAACTGCTTTCCCTCATGGGTCCTCAGTCCTGGGCTTTAGGTGTGCAAGGACAGAGGAGGAGGGCACATTCCCAGATGTCCCTAGGTGTGTGCTATGTATGTGGGATCAGGCTTCTGCCTGACATCTGCAGACTGAGCCCTCTACCCCTTCCAGTGAATGGTCCCACTCCGAACCACGAGCATTTTAATTCTGAGATGTTTTCCCCAGGCTGTGTAACTTTTGCCTGCACTCTTGGCTCCCCACTGCTCTTGAGCACAATTTCCCTGGGTCATGCAGGCCCACAAAGGTTGGCATCTCAAATGAATAAATTTCATTTTACATCAGTCCACCTGAAAAATTGTCCTCAGAGGTTTCCACCTCCTCCCCAACATCAGGAAAAAATGGTTGAAATTTTATAAGCAGATTTTCAAGAAGAAACAGATTTTTTTTTTTACTGCCAAGCTGTATAATAGGTGTATTTGAGAGGTTGTTAACTTCAACAGTATAGTCAGAAACAGTGTTACACCCCACACTGCATCCATCGTTAAGCAATTAAGTTACTGATGGGCTTTTACATTTATTTACCTTGATGGAAAGATATGTTTACTGAACCTGAGTACAAATCAACATGAGGAGGTGGAAGTTCAGAGTAAATTTGACTAATGATGTTGTGTTTTCATCCTTAAAAGAAAGGAAAAAAAACCTTTCTGCTTTTGATGCTATTTTATCTTCATTGGAAGGGATCCGAAATGATCCCAACTGTCATGTGAGTGCTCAGTTAGGCTTAGATCCTCTTTGATTGCAGCTGAACATCTCTCCCCGTTGGCTCATACCTTTCCTTATATGAATACAGCATACAGCACTTCAGGTTGTTTACTGAACAGCACTTTAACTCTTCCTCTGTGAATGCCCTCACGATTATATCTTTAAGCAAAATTTGAGCTGTGGCCACCTTGGCCTGAGGAGATGTTAATGTGGCCTCATTGCTGATGTGAAGGAAGAATTTCCTTTTGCTTTCACAGTAACTTAAACAAATGAGAAATATTTTGTTCATGAATCTTAATTCTCTCTCCTTTTTTTCAGACCCACTCTTCTCCAGTCTTGGTATGTGGATTTCTCTCTCTCCAAGTAATTCCTTAGCATACCCTTGAATGGCATCTACCACACGTGAGCATCCTCCACAGTCTCTAAGATACTTTTGTTGTTTTTCTTCTTTGAACATTTGTTTTTTTGAGATGACATTGACAGACATGAGGCCTAAGTCTGGAGATGTTCTGTGGGTAGAACTCACATTTATTTCAGTATGTCGAGCAGTTTTAGGATCTGATCCATATTGAAGACTAGCATGGTGTAATGAGGCCTGGGCATATACAACAATATGTATTCTAACACAGCTCACTCAAAACAAATATGTTCCCTTCTCTTTGGCTGGTATAAACAAACAATCTCCATTGTGTTCTGCATGGCTCTGCTGCGCCGCCTTGCACATGGCAAGAGCTTGGCTTCCCTGTTCACAAAAACAGCATCTCCCTTCTGCGACGCCGTGCGCGCCCAGAGAGACCTGCAGCTAAGGACACTGGTCTGAAACGGATAGCTGGTCTGGTGTTAAGTCCTAGTTGAGGGAATGAGGGAATTTTCTTGTGACAGATATAATTACACAGGGTCTTGTTTCTGAGCCCTGTGCACTTCAGTCAGACAATACTGACTCTGGATTCCACAGCTGGAAAGCAGAGAATCAGTGTAATAGCTGTTACAAGATTCCCTCACAATGACCCACAAAATCTTCACTTCTTATGCTCGCAATAAAAATCGTCAGCTTTGTGAAAAATTCGTGATGACTTGAGGTGGAAACATTAGCAGGGGTGAGCTCAAAACTCATGTGTGAGGCCCATTGTCTGTGTGAAGCAGAGTGAGTTTGAACCCAGGTGTTCCTTCTGTGATTGAGCTCAGACTTTTATGCCATTTTGCAAAGCCATTACCCTCTCCTGTAACTTGTGCTGGAAGCAGAGTGAGCTGTTTTGGCACTGAAATGATTTCATTGTTAGTCTAAGTGTTACACAGATGGCATTCTTAAATGTAAAATTCTTTTTATGATTCTTTCTATTTCATATTTATTTCATTAGATCATTATTTATGTTAAAGAGTCACTATTAATCTGAAACGTGCTCAGCTTGAAAGAAAATGTTGAGAGGAGTTTCAGGTATCTGATCCTCAATCCTTTAGTTTTTGTGTTTTGCATTTTCCTACTTAAAATGGTTTTTTCTGTCTCTAGGTGCTATGTGACAGATCCACACAAACAACAGAGGGGAAAGAGCCTCACTTAACTGATTAGAGGAGAGAAGCAGTGAAAGGGAATATGCACAAAGCACTGCCAAATTCACAGAGCAAAGGAAAAGATAAAAAATAGAATGATTTCACCGGCCTTTTTTTTTTTCTTTCTCCACAGAGTAATGTAAGGTATTTCTTATACTAGCACCAGGGAAAGAATTTTCAGAAAAAAAAAAAAGAGATTTCTTAATTAAGGATCTCTAATTCAAAATATATTCATTTAATAAAGAGTAATTATGATAGAAGCAACTACTCATTCATATCAATAATTCATTCAGAAGTAAACAATATCAACATATTATCATTTATTTTTCTATTTAATAGGCTGTGATTTCAAATAAATCTAAATCATCATAATCATTCTGCTCCATATGTTGGGAAAGAAAAAGTCACCTTAAACCAGATGCATATTGTGAAAAAAAAAAAGGAAAAAAAAGAAAAAGAAGAAGACAAGTTGTTCTAAAGAAACAGCATATGGGAGAAAATCTTAAGCCTCAGTAAAGATGCTCTGCTTTGTAGATGGCAATTTAGTTTTGAACTGAAAGAGGGTATGTTTAGATTAGCTATTAGGAAGATATCCTTCACTTAGAAGTTGGTGAGGCACTGGAACAGATTGTTCAGAGAAGCTATGGATACCTCATCCCTGGAATTGTTTAAGGCCAGGTTAGATGGGACTTTGAGCAAACTGGTCTAGTGGAAGGTATCCCTGTGCTGGGCAGAGGGGTCAGACTAGGTGGTCTTTGAAGTCCCTTCCAACCCAAACAATTCTGTGATTCTGTGATAACTATTATTCTATGATAGCGAGGCTGTTATGCCAAACAAGATTCTGGTCAATAATTTGCAACAACTAGGAGTCAAATACTAATTTCTTTCTTTTATAAAATTAAAAAAAAAGAAAAATAAGATTTATCTCAGTTTTATTCAGGAAAAAGCAATAAATGTGATCAAGAAAATTCTAGCTCGAACATGTTCATGTATGGAAACAATAGGCTGTTTGCAAGTCCTTATGTATGGAAATAATAGTCTGTTTACAAGTTCCAAGTTGGCTCTGCACATGTACCTGCTTATGTGCTTGGAGCTGCATTTATTTTTCCTGTTGCTAATTACCTAGCCAATCCCTCTCCTAACTTGTATCCTTAACTACCCACATCATTTTGTCAGCTGACAGCTCTTTTTCAGCTCCCTAACACATCAGCACTCCTGAAGCATACTCAGTTAAAAACTTTTATTTCTGTCACCTGTCTGAGGTCCAGAGAGTGGCATTTGGAGCCTGTGGATCAGGGTTGCACTTTGAATTTTTTTTACTTTTGACATACTGAAAAAGGCATGAAGGGCTCAAGCCCTGGTCAGCCTGTGCTTCCCAGCTACAGTATCACAAGAAGTTGGTGTAGATCTCCTCTTACTGCTTTTTCTGTTTTTGCTTTCAGTAGGTGAGGCCAGTGGCTGTGGTGGAGAGTGGGGTGTCAGCACTCTGCCTGTTCTGCTCCCACAGAGCAAGGCAGCCCTGACAGCACACTCTTGGGCCCCAGTGCAGCCATAGGGCCCTCTTGTCCTTGGATGAGCTCAGCAAAGCCCTTTCTCTCTCCCAGACAGAGAGCCCTGTATTCTGTCTGGGAAAATAAGACTATGCAGCCCTTCTTCCCCAGAATTCCAGCAGCAATGCTCTCGGGGACCTCTCAAAGTGGTGGCTGCAGTTAAAATGCTGTCAGCATAGTGCAGTTTAATTCTGCAAAAAGTTGTTTTCTTAACCTCTCTGGTGAGTTTTGTCACCTGTGTCATTATTGTGTTACTCTTCCAAGATTATTGTTGCTGTCCCAGCAAAGGCTGCCCGGGGATGTACAGTCCCAGGGCATGCAGGTTTAAAAGGTATCTGACTTATGTTCTTTTCCAATCTCTGTCATTAATATTCCTCCAAAAATTTTTAAGGAGAAAAGTGAGTCATGTTTGATTTTCCATACCCTCACAGAGAGGAGCCATGTACTTTCCACAAGCTATTGCATTATTTCTCTCTCCGGTGTGGCTCTGATTTAGTGCTGGATGAAACTCAAAAGGAGGATTAGTGTAGAGAGACTCCCATATGCTTGGATGCATTTCTGAACTGTGTACTATCCTCACTGCTTTTGATGAAAAAAGCTGGGCTATAAACCTGATGAGAACAGGCTTCCATGCAAGATGTTTAGTATTTCCTGCTTCCATTTGGGCCAGGAATACAGCACACCCAGCCACTTTTGGCCCTGTAGCTCTTGGTCACAGGCCTGCCTGAAATTTAGAAAACCACAGCAGTGGAAAATCAGTGGGGGAGTGAAAGGAAGTTGATTTTTCTCCACTTTAATAAAGGCTAGATTAGGGTTTTGTTCCAGTTTTGGCAAAAGCTTTGCTGGGGGAAGGGCACAGGTAGAATGTTTTTGTATTGATGGAATTGGTTCATCTGTCTATTAGATGGCTGCACTGGAATGCAAGTCCCTTTTTATGGTCCTGAGTAGAAGAACTGCTTTTTAAGGGCTGCCCTTTCTGGGAAAATTAGAGCTGGATGTAAAACTCTGACCATATTGTATTTAAGAAAATTGAGAGCATAAGAAGGAAGCAAGATGAAGAGAAATAGTGAAAAAGGGAGAGAGGGAGGCCTCCCAAAGATAAACTGCTACAGTGAGTTGTGCTACTGCTTGGTGTCACACATGGGGGCTTCACTATACCTAACACCTGATCATTTTTCTAGCTAGTAATTAAATTGTAAATAGTGAAACACAAAGCAGCACTGAAATTGACCCTAAAACTGCTGGTGTACTGCCATTTGGGACTATCTTCTTTAGTATTTTCTTTTTTTAGACAGAATTTCCCAATAGTACTGTTATCAGTCGATCATTTTTGCTGATTCTCCTCTCCATTACAAAGGTTTCTGAGTTTGTGAATGAAAGGCTATGTTTTCTCAACCAAATCCTCTACTCCTCGGTCTATTAGTAAACTAATGTTAACTTACAAGATTTGACTGAAACCTCCGGGTCTGCCAGCTGGATGCTTGAGGAGTCCAAGCTGGCTAGGTAAAGAAACACCTTTTTCACATGACCCAGCTCGGCTCCCGAGTTGCCCCACAAGTTTCTATCAGTACAAAGGCTGACATTGTCTACAAGGAGCAACTCGGATTACGGTCCCTTCCAGCTGCATTGCCCCTGACCCCAGTGCTGCCCTGGGCTGCCCAGGCTCTGCCCTCCCTGAAGCAGGGAGGCTTCAGCTGCAGCCCGCCGCTGACAGCGCCGAGTCTGCTCTTGAGGGTGGCCTTGGATGTGCTTTAAAAGGCAGTGCAGACGCTCTGTGAGGATAACATGGAATGATTATTTTAGGGCAGATTTTCCCCTAGAAAAAAAAATAGTTCTACATGTGCGCAGTTTGATCTTCACACAAAAGATTTATATAAGAACTCACTTCTCTCTGTCAGTTACGGAAAAAAAAAAAAAAAAAAAAAAGGCATGCTGGCAGGATTTAGGGAAGTGTGCAGGCTAAAGGATAGAAGCAGACAAAAGGGAGTTTTTCTTCTAAGAACATCTGCACAGCTGGAACCCTGGCAGTGCTGTGGTTTGAAAGCCTAGGTGTTGCATGACTGGGGCAAGGGACAATGTCTGTTTGGCACCCTCCTGACACACAAATTTGGCCAGAGATTCTTAGAGCAGTCCTCAGCCATGTCCCTTGCTGTGCATACACAGATGCACGGACATTATTTTGCCATCAAATGCCTGTTTTGGGGAATCTTCCACCCTGGAGGTAAACTATACATAAATGATCTTAGGGTAAAGGTGAAGGGAGAAACTGTGATTTCTTTAAGCGCTAAAGTAGATATAAACCAGGCACAGAGTTAACAGGAATGGAATATCTACAGTGCCTCTAGATCAGCAGAAACCAAACTTCCCTGACTCCTAGATGCCCTGCAAAAATGCGCCTATAGTTCAGGCTGGAGAAACTTAACAATAAGTCTGTTAGAGAAACAGCCCTGAGAGCCTGGCAAGGATAGAAAGGCTCCCTTGAGGCACCTGCACCCCAAATGTCTTTGTAAAGTCAGATCACCACCTATGGTAGAGCACAGGCTAGCTCAGTCTGATCTGCTTTGTGGCATGAAGGAAATGCATGTGTGAGTCTGGAGTTGTTCTGATTTTTGTCTGTCTCAGGCTGGCCCCATTCAGCCATCTCTGCCCTTTCTGGGGAGTGAGTCCCAGATCCAAAGACAGATTCTAACAATACAGCCTGTGTGCATGCCTCTAATATAACATGATGCTTATAACTGAATATAAGCAGGGATGAGGCTTTAGATCTTCCTCAAATCTCACTGTAACTTTGAGATTGTCAGACAGTGCTGAAGTGAGAGATCTGGAGTAGGAAAATTAGTGAACACAAAAGTCATGATATTTACTCAGTTTATGCATTTTCTCTCTCTTTTTCCATAAAACCTGCATAACTGGCATGTAATTGTTTTGCTAAGTGAGTCTTGAAAGCAAAAGTCTTGATAGCTGTCACATATCTTCTTTGTAGTACAGTGTGTTGTCCTCAGAAGATAATCAGTAGAACTTGCTCAGAAAAACTTAATCAGCAGAACCGAGCACATTGTCAGTGCTTAACAAATAATAAATTATAATAATAACCGCAGTTCCTTTTGACACAACCTATCAAACTTTTGCTTTATTTCCAGGAGTACCTTACTTACCTCTGTTTAAGATTTAATACTTTCTACAGCTCTGCTTTTTATGGTTGAGAGGACTGGTAATACAACCTAACAAGGTGGAAGTATTGACTGAAATAAAATTTTGACAACGGGCAGAAACAAAATACAAAGAAAATTCTTGAACTGTTCCTTTCCACTTACTGTTGTTGCTTTACAAGTCTTAAAAACTGAATTCAAGAATAGATTTGATCTGTTATATTGTTAAAATGTAACAAATTAATAGAATCACATTTAAATTTTCTGATAGTCTGTTTTTTAAAAGACAGACTGATTAGGCTTTCTTTACTGGTTCATTCATTCGTCCAGAAGTACTTCCCTTATTATTAATTATTTTTATTATAAGGAGCTTGGATGGCTCAGAAAGTTGTTAACACAGCTGGGGCTATCACTTCTTTGCCACCATTGTAGTTTGGCCTTGGCTTGGAGTTACTAACACTCATATAATTTTCTGATTATTTGGTAGTTTTTATGCAATTCGTTGGTGGGCTTTACTCACTTTGAACAAGAGATGTATTCATGTTATAGAGAAAACCGTCAGGTCAGCTGTAAGCTGCTGCTAATTGTCACAGGCTTAAATGGACCCGTTTCAGTTTAACCCAGTTGAGGATCTGACCAATGATCACAACTGGCATTAATTAGCAGATGTGTTATCAGACTCCGTGGAGATGTCCTGGGTTGAGTGACAACAGAAGCGCTCAGCTGCTGCAGCCGGTGGAGCTGTGCCAGTTTGGCAGCTGATGGCACAGCGCCCGATGCTGGCAGGTGGAAAGCCAGGGTCACTCCTGACGGAGGCACGCTGGTGGCTTCTGTCACCAGTCTCTGAGTAGAAGGAGCTGCAGACAGAGACCAGAGCACCAGGCATGTGGTTGTAGTAAAGCACAAACAACACAAGACTCCTGGGAGCAGGAAGACAAGGAGGATGCAGCACTGAACTGACTTGTCCCTGAAGCTGGATATGCACAAGACATTGCACTGCTAGAGAAGCAAAAGCCTCTAGCAAATGTGTTGAGGCTCTAGCTTTCCATGTGTGCCATCTGATCTGACACAGTAATGCCAGTTGCAAGTGTGTGGCAGGAGGGTGAGGGAAACACATTTAAAAGCAGGGGATCCTGAAGAGCAGTTGAATTTCACAGAGACAGCTACTGACAGTCTCAGTGCTATTATGGCTGTGACTAGAAAAGTATCTTGAGCAGGTCATGGGGGTGAATGAAGAGCAGGAATGAGAGGCTGCAATTTTATCAGGGAAAAAGAGCATGCTATCTTCCCTTTGCACTTATCTGAGTGCAGTGTGGGTTAAGACCAGGCCAGTAACCTGCCCAGATATTGCTCAGTAGCAGCCAGTTCCTCTTTCTCATGCCTACCTACCTCCACAGGATGGTGGCAGGAACAAGTTGCCAAGATAATGGCATGGGACCTTTGTAAAGATTTATGGTTTGTTAATATTTACAGGACAAAAATGGACATCAGGTAGCTCAGGGAGTAATTTTTTCAGCTCTTGACAGAGTTTGGAAATTAGCTTAACTGATCCCATGTATTTTGATGCACTGTGAAAAAAAGAAATTCTTTTAATCGTGGGATCTTTCTGTTGTAACCTAGGAAAGGAAAATAGCAAAAGAGTGAGAGTTCAATAGTACTGGGAATGGAGAAATTTTTAGATTGGTTGCAGACCTCTGCCCAGTTGACAGGAAGATGCAGACTACCCAAGGAAGGCGCTACCACCTGCAAATTCTCTGTTACCCTTTCTGCCATTTCTCCTGCCACTCAAAGCAAGATATGAAAATATGTTTATGCATCTATTTGCTGTGAAAAATCGGGGTCCTTCTCTGAATAGTTATCTTTGGGCCCAAGGCCATGAAAGGGGATGATTGAGTCTCATGATGTCCAAGTCCAGGTTCCCAATCTACACATCTTTTATCACCTGCATTTTTGATAAGAAAGTTCTTAAGACATCTAAAACCTTTTTTCTGCTTGTGTCTCTTGGTCAGTCACCAGCTCAGCTAAGTTGAACTTCCCAGCATTTAATCCTGATTCATCTCCTCAAACCATGCACTGCTTCACCCATGTCTTCCAAGAGTGTCGTGGTAAAGCACATATAACACATGATCAGGACTGAGCAGTACACAAAGTACAGCAGCTGTGTTCACTGTCATTCAAAGGCATTAACTTCAAACTCCACCCAAGCTTCAGGGGCTTCAAGCCCTTATCTCTTATCTGCAGAGAGAGCAGGAACCTTAGGTAGGAAGCTGCATGCTAAATATTTATGGGGGAAGAGATTTTTCATACTTCCTGCAGAAGTGGTGCTGACACATGTAAGGTTCTCGGGGAGGAGTTTAAGGCAATGAGGTACAGAATCAGATACAATCCCCAGCCCTCCACTGCTGAATTAGCTTGGTGTTTTGGATTGATGCAAGATAGAGGATCTCTATTAGTATACTCATTGCTGTGTAAGGTGTTTCTAAAACATTGTCTTCATAGCCTAATGAAAATACAGTGATTTTTCAGAAAAATCAGTAGAACATATCCTCAAAGGATATGATGATTATTGGAGTTTTAATTAAAATAGCAGGTGAAATAAGTATTATAGTGTGCTATTACTCCTAAAATAACAACAGAATAAAGATGCCCATTTCTTTTTTGAGTGCAATTTTCTAAATGAAAAAGTAAACATTAATATCTGCAGAGATCTTACTGATCTTGTACGATAATTTAGAAAAATATCCCTATTAGGGATAGTTATATATGCTTTTTGTTGGAAATGCAATCACAGGATATGCACATAGCTGCAATCTGTAGACAGATTAAGTAAATTAAATCACTCAATGTCTTTTTTCAATAGCTCTAAAGTTAAAAGTAATTTGCAAAGAAAATACTCAGTTTCAATTGGTTTGTAATATCTGTTAATGATCTTTGGAAAAATTTCTGATAACACGCAGGAATTCCCTCAGGGGCAGGGTTGTGAATAAGTGGATTTTTTTAAGTTTGAGATGTCATTAGCTAGTGATTTCTTTGAAGTAAAAAGCTGTTACAGAATAAATTGCAGAGGTATACAAGTGAACAGGACAATCATTTTTATGAATAATATACATTATTTCCACTGCGCTTTCTGGCCTCCAAAGAAATAATTTACAATCTAGCTTGCCATTACAAACACCCTGGAAGAGCAACTGCATGAGCATTTTGTGCTTACTTTATGTGTATTCTTTGACTTAATATGAAAGTTATAAAACCACCAGTGTAAGGATCTGATTTGCCCCTTTTAATTATTTTTTTTTGTTTTCTTTCCCCCCCAGTAGATAACTTTTTCAATCCACAAGGCTGAAACAACTTTCCTTAACTGAAATGACTCCAGCACCGCTATTCACTAGAAGACATCCTCCTTGATTTCTTGGGGGGCCCATAAGATGACTGAAGTTGTAGGTAAGTGCAACCTTGTCAAAAAGTACCTCTATTCTCTTGGTACCTTGTCAGCATGAACATATTCTTAACAGTTCAGAGATGAATCGGGTATCTATCATGCCCCACCACAGCAAAGTAAAATGACATAAGGCAATAAGGACAAATGAGATCTCCTGGTTCTGTCCCCACCTTACCACCTTAGGATATCCCAAGTAGAAAAGAGTGCCAGCAATGTCACAGAACACACTTGTCCATGGGGAATATTGCCCTGCTTCCAAGGTTCAGTTGTACAACTCAACCATGGGCACCTGAGGATGGACCTTCTGCTTCCACAGGTTCCTGTGGGTGGTTCTGAGTTTAGATGGGGATGGAAGAGATGCTGGTCAAAAGAGACAGTTAATTGTAGTTATTGACCTTTTGATTTCCTCACCTTCCTCCAAACCTTTTTTGGACTTGTTGGACTTGGTAATCTTATTCCTGCAGACCTGCAGACAGAGCTGAAAACACACCCTGCTAGCATGAGTGTGACTGATGCCTCCAGGGCTCCCATATAGGGCTGGAGGAGAAAGGACTTGTCCCACACTAGAAACAGATGAGACAGTCACCAGTTTGAAAAGCCTCCTAGACTTTCTTGACCCTCTGAAGGCCCAGTGTGATGGTTAACCAAGGGTGAAGGTGCTGTCCTGACACATGCCATGAACCACTGGGATGATTGGACATCACTGTGTAGTAGCAGCTAGTAAAACACAAATTTTTTAAGGCTATGAGCAACTATTATTATCATCTAATCTGATTTTCTGCATAATACTTTCAACTGAATTTAACCCAAGCTGAGCTTTGTCTGAAGATTTGATTTTATGCCTAAAAATGACTTGTCATTTACAAATATGATGATGTTTCTCTCAGTACTAATCATGTGATAGCAAGTTCCATTGACAGGAAAAGCAATTCCTTTCATCTGTTTACAAATATGATGATGTTTCTCTCAGTACTAATCATGTGATACAAGTTCCATTGATAGGAAAAGCAATTCCTTTAATCTATTTAAAATGCAATACCTTTTTGTACCACCTTGCAGAATAGGAAAGACTTTTTCCTCTGCTGCTAATTAAGTTCCAAGATCCTGAGGACAAAATTTTATTTATATTATAGTCATGCTTAAGTAGAACTCCGACGAAGCCTGGGGATCCCATCACACAAAGTGAGGGAAACTGTGCAAGTCCTTTGGGACTGAGACTGTTTTAATAGACACATGGCACATTTTCAAGGAAGATGAGTGATTAAACTGAAAAAGTTGCCAGACAGTCAATGGATTGTTACCTCTCAACCACCGATGGCTTTCAGAAGAGAAAGGGAAATGTGAAGTTTCTAAACGTTAGACCCAAAAATGAGTTAGGAGTGTAGTCAAGTTCCTGGGAAAGGACTTTTCACAAGTGCATGAAGTGACAAGACAAGGGACAATGGCCTTAAGATGAAGAAGAATAGATTTAGATTATATATTAGGATGAAACTCTTTGCTATAACAGTGGTAAGGCACTGGAACATGTTGTCCAGAGATGGGGGACACCCCACCCTTGGAAATGTTCAAGGCCAGGTTATATGGGACTCTGAGTAACCTTCTCTAATGGAAGGTATCCCTGCTTATGGTGGTGGGATCAGAATTAGATGATCTTTAAGATCCCTTTCAACCCTAACCACTCTATAATTCAACAAAGGAAAACAACAGTTTCTAATATGTAGCTCTGTGTCCTGTCCACTGTCCATGAGTCAGATTGGCCTCCAGTGGCTGAAAGTTCTTTAAGACAACAGGGTACACTGAGAAAAATACCTGCAATATCTGGTTCATGAAAGGTCCCACTGTTTTCCAGAACTGCTGGGGTCCAAGGACATTTTCTAGATTGTTTGAGACAAAAGCATGTGTTCCAAGTTTATGGAGAGGTTTTGTTCAGTTCAGTATGATTTGAATAATAGAATAATTAAAGACCTCTAAGGTCATCAAGTCCAAACATTAACCTACCACTGCCAAGGCCACCACTAAACCATGTTGCTAAGTGCTATATCTATGAATGTCCCATGAGAATATATATTTCCTGAGAGACAAGGTGGTGCTTATATTCTTTCTCTTTTCTCAAGAAATTTTCCATCCTTTTGACTTTTATCATTTTTATTACCATTCTCTGGACTTGTTCTATTTCTATTTTCTTTTTTCAGGGATGAGGTGACCAAATTTGAAGACAGTATTCAAAGTGAGGATGTGCCACTGATTTATATAATAGCATTATAATATTTTCCATATTATTCTCTAAAACTCTTTTCTTTGTACAAACCCTGTAAGATTCTTTTAATTCTTTGAACTACCATGCCTTTTAACATCTGTAGTTTACTCTGATCAGATTTTAACAAAGGAATAAAAGGCTCCATTTTTCACATAGAATTTTATTTATTGTTTGAACTTGAGAGGAGAAATTGGTTAACTTACAATTTAAAATTCTTGGTAATGTAGACCATTGGGCAAGGATTTCATTATCAGCCCTTCTATACTTTCTGTAGAAGTGTGTGAGGCTGAAAGTTAGTGTACAGGATCTTCACTCAATAGGCTTGTCTTTTGCTTTATAGACATGGACAAAACCTAATTTGGAGCTACCAGCATCCCCAAAGATGTCAGAAAGGGCATTCACCTGTACCCCCTTCCTGATGAAACATGCTGGAGCCCCACATTTACCTGCTGTTCATCCAGGACCAAGTGTGCATGCAGCACCTGAATTTTGTGATCTCCTGCATACTGTACCTCTCACTTCCACCCCTTTGCAAATGATGCACTTGATGGCTGCAGAGGGTGAGGATCTTGCTCTTGTGTCATGGCTTGGCATTATGGCTTCATCAGGATATTAGAAAAGGCTCAGGGAAAACAGTTACAGCTATTCTATCACCTGAGACACTTCCGGCAGCTCCCGCCTTTCCTTAGAATTACCAATCCAAGTGGTGACCCTGCCTGACCCTACTTATCTTGTAAAACCTGACAAGATCACAGCCTGAAGCAGTATAGCCACAGGCTCAATACTGCCTACCAAAGTGTCTGTTTAGTATTTTCAAGAACGTTGCTCTAAAGATTTACAATACCAGACACTAGATATATGGACAACACCAACACACAGCTCTGACCCCTGAACATTCAGCCCCATTTATAAAGAAATTTGTGTCTCTCAAGGGGCCAACACTGAGCTGCTACGAACTAGCGATTCCCTACCTGCAAGCAAGTGGATTTTAAGTACAATTTGATTATATATACCAAGACATTGGGTAAAAGTATTTGAAAACTATGGCCTTGAATTCAGAATTCATGGTTCGTTTTTTTCATTGGTTGCATTACTACTTTAGCAATAGAAAGGTCTCTGCCATTTCTGTGTAATATATAGAATTTACTTTTAGTTTGGTGTAGAGAATTTTCTTCACTCTTCCATGACCAAAGCAGGTTTTCATTAGAAGGTATTTTTAGATGAACTGTAAGTTTCCTCCCCAGCAAAAATTTTAGCTGCACCAAGTGAAAGCAAATGCACATTTCCTCAGATATCTCTAAAGATAAACACAGGTTTAAATATACAAAAAAATTTAAGGGTTTAGTTGCATATGGGTTCATACACCGGATGGATTAAGTTCTTGCAAAGTTGTGTGGGCTTTTTCCCCTCTTCTTTTTAGAACAGCAAAGACTTGGAACAGACATTGAGGTCCTATTGCTCCTGTCGGAAACTTCTGTTGACGCAGCATGAATTGGATGGGACCCAGAGAAACCAAATACAGACAAGTAATGATGAGTTGGCCATACAAGCAAGGAAAATCACAGATAACAGGTGCACACCAATTAGCAATGTATCTTTTGGGTCATCCAGTACATCTTCCTGACACAATGAAGTTGTTATGGCATATTTCTGTGGTTTTTTTGTGCCTAGATGAAATTTCCTAAGTGATGCCATATCTCAAGGGAGAGGTTGTGTTGCCTAGAGTATCCTGTTGTCAGGAGTTTTTTTCAGTTCTTAATGTCATAATATTTCTTATTTTTACGTCCCTTTGCAAATTTCCATCTTTCCCTTTGATCTCTTTTAACTAGTGTGATGTAGTGTTTAGTTAGCATTAAGGCAACTCATAGATATTTAGTTCACTTAATCTTTCCTAATGTAGCAGTCTTCCAGCCTTCTTGTTATTCTTCATTTATTCTCATCACACAATTCCCTGTCAGTATCTTTTTTAGTTATGAGATTTTAAAGATGTGGTGCATTTCTCTGATTGTACAACAGATGTGGTACAGAGCTGAGCACCCTTAGTGTCTTGTCACCAAAAGCCCCTCCTGACAGGGGAAAGCTGCAAGCATTATAAACAAGCACACAGGTAGAGTATCCTGCTTGAACCACTTCCGTGGTGCCACTTTACTGACCCACAAAACACTATTAAAACAGTTAACCTAGTAATTAAATAAGTACGTGACATTTTGATTTAAAAAATTTTTTATTTCTCATTATGCAAAAAGACAGAATAGCAGAGATAAAAAACTTTGATGCTGTTGAGATTTTCTAGCTCTTGGTCATGAACATAACAGATTAACATTATAGAAAAAAACATCTTCATCCATACCTACATCTGAGTGCTAGGAGAGTACATTGTAGAGAGTAATTATATACATAGTGACAAGCCTAGCTGTTCACTTCAGGCAATAAGTTCTGATCTATAAACTACAGTACTCCTTTTGTGCTAGATGAGATCTTGGTTGTAATTGACTGTCTTTACCTTTGTGTTCTGTTGGATTGGAGTAGTATAATTTTAATCTGTTCTCTTTAAATTTCCATTAAGGAATGTTTCGGCTACCTTCATCCTCATCCGATGATGCTTAAGGAACTCAGCTGGCTCGATCTTCTGTGCACCAGCAGGGACTTCTTTAAATGGGTAAACTGTATAGAACATTGTTTTCAAGTTTAACATAGTTGGAATTAACTTTATGAAATAATGGCATATCTAAAGACAGGTTATATACATAGCACAGACATGTACGTGTGCATTTATATGTGCAAGTCTGTGTATACATGTGTATATATACGTAAGTGCACACATATGTATGGAAATGCTGATGTTATTCACCTTTTTAAATCTTTACCACTAGTATTAACATGAATGTGCTGTTAAATTTGGCAGTGCTATGCGTTTTTGTTGGAGTTTACTTCTGTAAGATAAAATCATAAAGATAAGCTGTGAAACTCGTGCAGCTGATGACACAATTCTAGAATCTCGTGATGCTGAATCTCATATTTCTATGAGTGTGGGATGGATGTTCCTTGCTGAAATAATTATACTGCCTATTGCAATATATGTTTCCTTGTTTTTATGTGGGCACTGAGGTGTCCAAACTATTAAACGTATATGTACAATGAGTCCTGTGTTCCTTATTTATTCTAAAGAAGGCAATTAATTTCTATGGTTTTATTGTATAATAAAGCAAATTACCCTAAGAATCTCTTACGAGCATAGCAATAATCTGTGACAATATGCATATTTACTTTTAATAATGATGTCCAAATATACATATGTGCATATAAATATGCATATATGTATATACAAACACAGAGAGACATATACACAAATTAAATGAAACCAATTAGAATGTGGCATAAGTAGATTCAGAGCTTACCTGTTATGGCTGTGTGAAGGGATAATTTGAGTTACAAGGACATGCAAGAAAACATAGTTCAATATACTCCATTGGCTCATTCTCATTATGCTCACCCGTGACAGGCTGTGTGCTAAGGTGGGGTACCAGCAGACATTCATAATGACAGCTGGTTCAAAACAGAGCTTTCAAAGTAGTGCAACACTCCTAACTTCCTTCCAAGTCTTGGTGTTTGCCAGAGCTTAAGTGAGGCTGGTTCTTAAGGTCAGATATTCAGATATAAGTTATTTAGAGAGAATCTGATTCTTTATGTTTGAACTGTAAATATGTTCAATGTACAGGCTTTTTGCTGCCCATGAATTTGCATTTGGGTTCACACATGGATTATGCTTGTCTACTACCTGCAACAATATGTATGTTTCTCCCTGATACCATACCCTATTTGCCTGGGATGTCCTCTATCAATTTTTCACTCTCTTGTGGGCTACATAAGCTGAGATTCAGATGGGAGCCCTTTCTTTTTACTGGGACCAAAAATTCCGTCAGCAGCTATGTTGAGAAAAGGAGGAAAAGCAGCTTTACTTTAACATCACCCATATTACACCCCCTATCCTCAACCAACCAGGAACACAGCAAAAAAAAGCCCAACTGAGCTTCAGTTGTTGTGTGTGACTTTTCCTGTTGGATGCGAATAGAATCTGGAAATACACATGCTCCTCCTTGGGAGAGAAAAGCAAACAGGTTTTATCTATATGCAGTTGAACTCAGTGAAAAATAACCAGGAACAGAAAGCACACTTGATGGTAAGGTATGAATATAAGTAAACATAAATGTCACTACACTAAATTAAAGGGAAATGTGCCACACTGTTATAATTATTACAGAGAACATGTGCTAATTAAATGTTACACTGTGCTGGTGCAAGAATTGAGTATTCCATATGGGACAAATAGAGGAGCTGACCCTGGAATGCTGTTGGCTCTTGTTTAGAAGCCAGTGTGTGAAGAGCATGCCATGAATGGCCTTGTGAAAATGAGACTGGTGTGCTGATTTGGTCTTAGAAATTACTTTTCAGAAGGGTTAGAAAAATATTTTAAATCTCTGATAAATTTTATTTGTACTGGGTGACTGGACTGCTGAGTGTGTGCAGTGTGTTCAAAAACAGTTTTTTGTTTACCATACCACCTGGGGAACCCAAGCACTAAGTGTCAGGCCTTCCAAGGAATTCAGACAAAATATAGCCCTGCTGTTAGAGGATCTTCAGTGCTGCCAGGACTTCTCTGTAGATGAAATCAAGGAGACCTGAGCATCAGGGGGTTCAGAAAAGCATTGACCATGTGCCTATCAGTCTCTTTTGGATCTGCACGCATTTCTGGAGTATTGACCCTCCTTTAGCTGAAAGTGCATCTGGGGAGATATTGAGGGGAACAGGATCGGTCTGTTCTCATTTCTGGAGGAGGTATGGGTCTCCTGCAAGCCAGAGGTCTGTGCAGGGCTGTTTGCCTGCAGCAGGCTTGCTTGGCTTACAGACACCCGTCGTGCTAGCTCCAGCATGGTACGTGTGAGCAGTGTTGGCCACGCTCACAGGCTGGCGATGCTCCTGTTTGCCATCAGCCTTCCCTCCTGGATCAGGGCCGCTACCCATTGCTGAGGGGTGGCCAGGAGCAGCTCCCTCTGGTGAAGCTCTTTTGTGCTTTTATCTCCCTTTTCTTGGCAGTAAACTGCCACTGGCTCTCAGCCATGGCCCTCTCGCCCTCCCCAGTGCCCAGCTTGCATGCTCAGCCAGTGCCTACATCTCTTCCAGCAGCTGGCCCTACTCCTCCTCCACAGCTGGCTGCTGCCCCCTACTGTGGTAATTATTATTTATTATGGATATTCAGTGTACATTATGTGTCCAAAGTCCAGTACAGTCTGAATCACTACCAGGGTCCCACTGTGTGGGCAGAAGCACACGGTCATACAGAGTTGTTTCACATCGATATTCACTTGACTCTCACAGAGGGAAAGACTGAGGGGAGAGGGGTGAAGCTGGCTGTTGGCACCTATTAGCACTATCTGATGTGACACCTACTCTGTGCTGTGTTATGTGACTCCTGCAACAGCACAGCTGAGCACAGAGCTCCTTTTTCTCCACCTTGCTATCAGTAGCAGGTCTCCTGCTATTCCTGTTACCTAGCTGGAAACACCTGAGGTGTTTTCCAAACGTCATGGTTGCTACATAATCACAGTTTAACTCCCTGTTTCTGTGAATGCAGACATTGCTTGGCACAGCATGGCTATGTGGGATGCCATTTTCTTTCCTATTTCTCTCCATCACCTTCTTCTCTGGGTTTCTTTGTTCATGCGTCCCTCTCCTTACACTTCAACATTCTTTCACACCCTGCCTCTCTGAAGGCACCACCCTCAGTTAAAAACAGAGGAGCTGTAACTCCCACAACTTAGTGCACAGGCAAAAGTACCTGCAGGGAGAAGAAGATTTCTGTACATTTGGAAAAATACAGAATCCTGGACATATTCCACACATATATGTGCATGTGTGAGAGCAGGCTCTCAGCTGTGCCCTGCTCAAGAGGACGGAGCAATACTGCTCCATGGCAGCTGAGATCTGTCCCAATACGTAAATGTAAATATCTATTTTTACAAACCCTCCTACAGTTTGCTTTTAAAAAAATCTTTCTCTTTAGATACTGGAAACATACAAGCCAGTCAGAAGTGTCCCACTTTCTCTATTTTCTCTAATTCTTACCTGTGACTTCCTTTGAAAGCTTTCAAAATCTAATGAATTCATGAGACAAAGCAAATTAAAACTGGAGAAGCTTTGCCTTCAGTACCCTGGGCCTAGTCTACAGGAACTAAAAAAAAAAACTAGGAGAGAAAATGGAAGGGTACCAAGCCGTGTAAATCCAGATAATTTAAAATGTTTGATTGTAAATGGGCTCACCAAACCCAGCAAAATTCCCACTGTCCTTTACTTGCAATCTTGTGCCCTTTCAGCTAGCTGTGACAAGTTAATGCACAGAACAAATACTTACAGTCTCTGCATCAGAGCACTTTTTGCCATGGATCACTTTTAAAATTGTTTTGGGTTTACATTTAATTGCTTCCTTTGCATGCTATGTGTACACATGCACTCCTCCCACCCCCCCTTATTTCATACGTAACTGTTGTGTAGGCTGAAGTCTTTGAATACGAAGTATTCAAACCTCAGAGCACAAACCTCAGGAGTTTCAGCCCAGGAATTGATTTGTCCTCTTGAAGATGGGAACCATATGTGTGACATGTGAATCCGGATCTTGGGTGGATTCTGGATACACTAATTTGAATGCATTGGGGCTTGGGACTCAGACTCATTTATTTGTTATGACACTAGTCCTGATTCCTACTACTGGGTGTTCACCTTTCCCTTCCTCAATAGAAAGAGAAATGCTTCTCATATTCACTTCTTCCAAACTGATTTGTAGTTCATTCCAGGACAAAATCATCATCAAGTATTATTCTCAGTTTTATTTCTTAATATTCTCTGTGACAATTGCTTATAATTGACCTCCATAAAAACTTTAGAATCTTTGGATCATTTTGTCACCTTTCTCTGAGAAGACTCTGTCAATCCCACTTTTCCTCTGAAGGCTGCTCCACTGGATTTTCAAAGTAACTGAATGCACTTCCCCCCTTGTAACTGCCTTAGTGTTTTGGGAGACGAAGAACACCTTCTTGGGGTGTTCTTGTCCAACAAGCTCTCTCTTGAGCTGTTGTTCAGAACTAGTATTTTTGGGCTCCCTAAAACTGTGGCAAACTTCAAAGCTCTTTTATTCCCAGGATTTTCCTCATCTCCTTTTGAAGACAGGCAACATAATAGGGCTTCCCAGCCTTCTTGTGCTGCTGCATTTTTCAAGGGAAGAAGGCATCCTCTTGTCAGTATCTTGGCTTTTTCTCACTTTATTTCCCCTCAGAACTCCCAGATGAACACCATCCGGTTGTGGTGATTTACTGCACTTGAGTTTCTCAAGTTACTCTACAACTTCCTCCTTAGAGACTTCAGTCTGTATAAAGGCCACACTCTGATTTTCTTTGCAAAGTGCCTTTGGCACAGGAATTTCTACACTGCTCTCAGCAGCAAACACAATGCAAGAGATTAATTTAACTCCTCTGCTAGCTTGTTGCACTCTTCTGACCCACTGTATATGGATTTGTGGGGATCTCTGAAAAGTTTTTGTGCAAAGTCCAGGCTAAGAATAGTATTCTCCAACAGGTGAGGTTTGTCTCTCAGCTGGTATTCTCTTGCTCTTTCACTGAAAGATATTTCTGTGTGTTGCTACAGCCACTCTCAGCACTGGTTTATTTGACTGGTTTATTAAGCCCAGTATAATTTCTCTGCACTATGTCTGTCACAGGTGGGTTAAATTCTCACCCATGCAAACTGGCACTGTCCTGGGGGAGATGTTCAGGTGAGGAGCTGGTCCTGCAGGGGACCCTTCCCTAGAGCTTTGGCAATCCACCCCGACAGGTCACAGCAAAGGGGCAGGATGAGTGCTCAGCACCACAACCCAAGAGGAGTGGGGTTTGTATCCTAGCCCATGGCCCTCATCAAGTGAAAACCTTTTGGTCTTTTGCCTTTCATAAAGGGAAGCTGGAGGGCTGGAACAATCCTTTCTCTTTTCTGCTCTTTCCTTTATATATTTTTATATCTGCTTCTTCCCACTCCCTTTCTGTTTTGAGAAAGACGGAAACTGCCGTATGGCAAATCCAGTCTTTGATTATTTTGAAGGACAGAACTAGAACATCAGAAATGGGGCAAATACTCTCCATGTCCTGTTTTAATCCCTGGCTGGTGCAGATTGGCCTTCAGTCCCGATATTTCAAAAGAAGGTCAGTTTTATGAAAAAAAAAATGCTCACAAACACTACTGAGCTTTGTGACTTTAAATTTATTTCAGTGAACTTTTATGACCATTACTTGGTCTGTTTATAGAGTCAAACTCAGAAATTAGCTTAATTTTTACTGCATTCACTAAAGAAACATATGTCTGATTCGAGACACAGACAAGCATCCCTTTGATATGGTATGGATATGAGACTGATGTTCACTATAGCTGCCTAAGGCCCAGGTGTGGAGACTATATCAGAAATCAGTTCCATGACTTCATCCATCAAGGAGAAAAACATTAATGCTGTTGAGTCTGTCCTAGCTTTCTCAAAGAAGAACCTGTAGAAAGCCTACTGTGGGTATCCTTATTTTACTAACTTTCTTATTTCCAAGGAAGAATTAAAATCTGAAACCTCTATTTCTCATGGGCCTTTGTGAAAAAAGACCCTGAGCTTCCTAAAACTTCCTAAATTGAAGTGAAATATGTCTCAAGATTCATAACCGCAGAGCTGTCAGATGAAGTCCAGCCTATGAAATCTATATTAAGAGACAAACAGGCATGCTCATCCCTGGCACATCTGTCTGTAATAAACGAAAATAACTTAGAAATTAATCGGGTCTTTAATTTTCTAAAATTTGGGACTTCATGTACAGAGCAGGATTCTTTATAAATTGTTGTGTCTGTCTTAGAATTAGCTATCTAGTCTCAGATAACTTTTCTTTCCCTTTCTGTCATGGGTAGTACCTCCAGATCTCTGTTCAACCATTTTATATGGTCATTATAGGATGGTATCTCATGTAGCCATATTAAAATAAGTCTCTGTTACTGGTGGAGTCTCTTTCTCCCTCAGCTACAGAGAGAGTGCAGGCAATTGCCTTAGAACAAACCACTAAGGTGATACTCTCTCTTTGCTAATGTCTTGGCTTATTAACATTTCAATTCAAGGCAAGTAATTCTGATTTGATGTATGTTTTTCTTTTACTGTAGTCCACAAAAATGACAATGCCTCCCAAACATCCCTCTTCTAACCTGTTTTACTGAAATTATTTCCAGTTTTTCAGCTTATGCAATAAGAAATGCTACTTTTTTGGTCTCACTTTCATAATCTACAGGTATTCTTATTAACTTGCAATATTTTGACTTAATCTAGTGATATACTAGGATCCCACTTAACACATGAGCAAAATGATCTTGTAGTACTGTCCAAACTTAAAATACAGAGCATAAATTGCAGGGAGGCAATTTTAGATGCTTCTCCTAACTGATATAACCAATTTTGTACAATTGTAATATAGACAAAATATATCAGAATACATATCTGAATTAATTTGAAAGCATAATTTCAATGGCCAGAACAAATAGAATGTGTTGATATTTATAAAATATGGTTAGCAATAACTAAATGAAGTAATTGAAATCAAGCTATACAGCACATAAGGTAATTTCTCAATTTTTGCACTCTGCCTTCTAACAAAACAAGCAGGTTACACAGTGCCCTAAAAAGTAAGGTTCTAGGAGATCAAAAATTTTTCAGAGGCCATTGGGAAGAGACACCCAAAGGTATACAAAGCATAGAAGACAACAACAAAGAATAGTCTTATTGAGATCTATCACTCTTCCTAATTGAGAAGCAAGGCAAGACTTGGCCTTTTATTTTAGTAATGATTCCAGAACTTGAAAAGGCGGTTACATGGCCATGCTGGTGAGAGAAGAGTACCAAATACTGCTGTTGGAAAGGTACAAAAAGCAGCAAAGCTTTATTTTGGCTTTTGGGTTACTTTGAAGTCCGTTTACTGTGTGGAATGTGTGTGCTGTCAGGACACAGGCTGGTCCCTTCTCAAAAATTCTGCATCAGTAATCAATTTTTCTCATTAAAACTTGTATGCTGATCTCTTTCTCTATTCTCTCCCTCTCTAAGACACTGAAACTATTGTTCAAGGCTCAAATCCAGGTTCATCTGCCAGTGGTCTGATCACACCCACCATTGCATCACCCCAGCCCCTCACTACACCTTACCCAGCAATGTGCAACACTTTCCTCTCCTTTTCATGGGATTTTTGCCAGGACTTAACAAGACAGACAGAGCTTGGAAGTGCTGCCTCCTGTGTCAATCAGGCTTCTAAAAATCTTCCATGCCCCCATATGGCTTAATGTGGGCAGCTACAAGAAATCTACACGGAATGCTTTTTGGAGAATGACTTCCTTGCATTGCCTCTCTCACACATCTCTGCATAGTCCCATGCAGTAGCCTGTATTTTTGCTTGGGATGATAGGAAATATTCACAGATAAATAACAAACAGCTGCTCTCACCATCTTCACTGATGTCAAAGGCTGTTGTGTAGGTGAACCAGGAGGGAAAGCCTACTGTAAAGTGTGAATCGAGTAAAGACTATGTTGAAGCATTCCACACAATTGAGCACGTTTGCAGGGATGATTACTTCTTCACTTCCCAGTACACAGGGTATTGCTCGCTTCTCTTGGTAGGACCGACTTCCTGATGAAATACTACTGAATGGAGGAAATCTGAGCCATAGGTATGATGGTTGATCCAAAATGAGTGATTAGTAAACAATTTTCAGTTGGTGTTGAAAACAGAGATGAACCAGAAATGAACTTTAAATGCAAAAAATTGGTTGATTATATCCATTCAGTTCATGGGGTGATTCATGGTTGTCTTCTCTCTGCAAATTTTCAGCAACATTGAAAAATTTTGCCAAATCTAAGAAAATGTCAAGACCTTGGCATAAATCTGTTACTTGCTCATGCATTTGAGTCTAGTCAACAGTTTCCCATTTAGTTACAAAGCATTTTTAAATTTATCTATTACTTCTGGACTCCTAAAGATTTTAGGAAAGTTCTGACACAAATTTGGATGTGGAAATGGAATTTTAAGGATAGATGTACATAACTCTCTGAAGAGTTACGATGTAACCTTGGCTTGCAAGAGTCTTTTCTAGGAGGAATTTTGATTAATCTTCAGATGTGAATGTCACAGTGTAGGGCCATTTATTAAATTTTTGAGTCTTGCAACTGGCTCAGAACATTAGTGTACTTGGGAGGACCCATGACACTCTGTGTGATCTCTAAGTGGCATCTTGGAAAGGCAAGTTTTGTTCTTCTTTTTCTCCCTATAGATCCTTAAAAATATGCAAATCTATGTGATCTGCTTCTCATACAGAGTTGAAAATTCAGCTATGGATCAAAGATTAGAGCATATGCCTATTATTGCAGCTGCCAGTTAACCGATCCAAATGTTTAACTCTTTAAAGAAATAGAGGGTCAGCAGCTTTCTGAATAATTGTTTCCAGACAGTCTGCTGTTAGTTGGATTTTTATATCACATTCAACTTCAATTGCTGCTGTCATTTATCTCCATTCCACAGAGTTTAACTTTACTAAATTCACATGTTAGCATTTGAGCCACTTACTCTTAGACACATCCAGAGCATGCTCCATGCTTGTTGACTATTTTTTATGGTGCCTCACAGATTAAATGAGAAAAACTGATGCCATCCAAACACCTGCCCCGTGTCTTTTGTCATGCCAGAAAGTGCAGAGACAAAGAAACCAGGCCATAAATGACTCAAAAATAAAACAAGTCAGAGTGTGTACCAACCTTTTTGAAAGCTTGTCTTCACTTCCGTATTGACAGTCAGAATGGAAGGTGCTTTCATGACAACCACGGTGCCACATTGTGAGAGAACACTGGGTTGCACTTCCTTGTCTTTCAGTCTTGTCTTGCCCTTATGAAGAAAAGATCTTCAGAGGTTCTCTGATCATGTCCTCTGTTCCACTCTGGTGGGCACCACCTCAGTCTCAAGCCCCCCAGGTATGGGACCTTGTGATGGGGTCAGCACTACCATCCACATTTCAGTGCTTCCTGCTGGAGAGCCACCAGCTGCTGTCTGCAGGCTCTCATGCTGTGTCAGTCTCCTTCACTATCTTCCTCCTGCTTTGGTGCAGTTGCCAACCAGGCAGTTGTTGTCTAAAATGATGCAAAAAATGGTGTAGGGTGTTTATTTTCAGGTGATAGTAAACTGAAAAATAAAACATATTGGAATTTTTTTCTTACTCCAGTTTTGGTCTGGACTATTCAGTGCCAGCATGCCCTGCTTCATCAAGTAACCAAGACTCAAGTTAAATGCTTTCCTCAACAGATTTTGAGAAAGAGAGCAAACATGTTAGTCTAAACCAAAAAGGACTAAGGAGACAAAAGGGTTAAGGACAAGGTCTAGACCCTTAGCATCTCCTCAGGAGAGATGATAAACACCTCTCTTTGGCCAGGTCCAGTTTCCTACACCTTTCTGGGGAGCAGTATTGGAGAGTGCTCTTTATTATGTGTTGGGATGAACGTAGGGAATGTTTTCCACCATTTAAAAAAATAGAATCCAGAATTTATGGGAGTTTGAAAAGCAATTTCCTTTTAAGGTGCAAATTCCTAATTTGCCACATAAAAGTACAGGAATTAAGTGCTAAATCCTTCTTTGCCAGTGAGACTTGTGAAAGGAGGTACGAAAAAAGAGTTACTGTTAGGTTTCTATTCATGTCTCCTGAAAGCCAATGTATGCAAAAGTGCTGAAACAGCCCTGATTTTTTTTTCAAAGCCTTCCTGCCGTTTCTGACTGACTTTTAAAAAATGAACCCTTGTCCAGTTTTATTTGTGTGGTGGGTTCTGATTTTGTTCTCCCTGTACTGTATCACTTTTCTCTCCTCACCATTAATCTTCCATGAATGTTCCCTGGGGCACAGTTCTCCCTTTTCTGCATGGAGAGTTTCTATTGAAATTAATGGACTTTCTTCTCGTGGGTGGAAGGAAGAATACACCCTTATATCAGCCCTATTGCAAAAGAATATTATTCATTGAAAAAAAGTGTTAGTATCACTCCTGAAAGCCCAAGGTCTAGTCAGGCAGATTATAGTGGGAGATCCCAACAGGAGGTCTGGTACAGAAGCGAGAACTACTTGTCCAACATGAAAACAAAAATCAGAACAGAAGACTTTTTAAATGTTGGAACAAAACCCCATAGAAAGTCAGAGGATATACTATGTGATGAAGTGTACTGTCCCCAACCTAATTCTAGGGCAGATCCATTGGGTCGAATACAGTGCAGTGAAGATATCCATTCATGACCTGTAGAACCAGGCATGTTCACAAGAACACCATGGCACCAAAGACTAATTTGATCTGCAAAGAGGCACTGCAGATTGGCCAGAGGTGCTGGGCCATGCAAATAAAGGTATATTGTGTTGCGTAGATGTATCACCTCATTTGGAATGAGGGCTTGGGAGCTTGGACATCTTTGACACAGTTGAGCATTGCACAATGTACACATGCTAATAAGCATGGCTACGTGCCCTTAGAGGCTTAAATGGAAAAGTCTTATGTTCCTTCACAGAGAACCCTTTGCTGAATTAAAGAGGGTGTTGACAACCTTCAATTGAAACTGCATAAATTCTCATAGGAAGGATAGTAGCTGAGGTCTTGAGGAAGGCGGATGACCTTATAAAATATACTACAGTATCTAAGTTTAGTAAAACAAACTCACTATATTTAAGTAGACTATGGAAATGTAAATATGCTTCAGGACTGGCCCCAAGCAGTTTACGTTACGGTAATGTTGCTGTCACATTTTGGATAGATCATTGCTGTAGATATTATAATCTAAGGCTAGGAGATAGAATTTAATATGCATAGAGAAATTTAAACAGAAGATAAAAAGCCCTCTTTCCTCAACAGTATTTTCAGGAATGAACCTCACCTCCACCCTGTAATAAAAAAAACAAACCCAAGCTTGTCTAAAGAGGCATTGTATGGATGGACTAGGCCACTCCAATATCTTTAATAATTTGGGATATTTCACAGGGAAGTCCTTCTAGTAAGGATGACTCCTTCCACAGTTCCTCTTTGCTTCCCATGGTTCTTTGTACCATGCAGTTCTAGAATGGGTAGCAAAGGTTTGACAACCACAGTAGCAGACAAATAAGGATTTCTTGTGTGTTTACAGTTTGTGAAACCTTGATTGTTGTATGATTAACATGTCAGTTACCCTTGGGTTTTCAGTTTTAACAACCAATGTGTTTTTAATGTTTATGTTTGGTTTGAGCATCTCTGACAAAGCTCTTGTTACTCATTTGTGTGTATTTGTATTTTGGTTGAAGATTATATACATATCTATCAAGATGATTGCTTTAAACAGTGCTCTATCTGCTCCTTCCACCAAACCTGGATCGCTTGCTTTAAGATTAGCCTTGTCAAATTTACTTAAGGTGACCAGGCAAATACATACAACTAATTTTGTTATAGGCAAAATTAACTAATGCTCTTTTTCATGGTGAGGTGCTGTAATGATTTTATATAGCAGTCAAACTATTTAAATACTAATGCTGTCTTCATGCTGTAATCACCATTCTAGTCAGATGTCATTTTTAGTAGCCTATAGGGAATTCCATCCCTTAATTATTCTTCAATACACAAACCAAGCATTCTTTAATTGGTGTAAATTGAACAGTGTTCCAACGCAAACAAGAAGAGGACAAACTAATCAATGATTCTGTGCATGTCTATTGGAAAGCTATTGCCATTAGATCAAGTAACGAATCCTCGACTCCATTAGCTTCAGAGGAACGATGGGGGAAAAATACTGCTAATGCCACTTCTTACTATCAATCAGTAATGAAAAGTGTGTAGCAAATCCTTTAGCAGAACTGCAGCTTTTCTTGCAAGTGCTCATGGAAATTTAAAATATGAAGATATTCTGACTTCAGACTCCCGAGTCATATGTCTTTGATGGGGACTTGTCTGGAAACAATGTGTTTTTGTTCTCTGCTGCCTTTAGTCATGTGGCCTGTTTTTCTTTTTAAAATAAATGATTCTTGAATGATAACATAACTTTTTTCAACTTGTCAGGAACTTTTGAGTGAATTTTCTGTCTCTTTCAGGCTATTCTCTGTACATTCATATGTATTCACTACTGCAGCACAACATAAATTGGTTGGCTCTCCCATCTCTTTTTTTAATACAATCTGAAATAAAGGTGCTGTATTTAAGAAACAGATGAAAAATCCTTCTCATAAATGTGTCACACTCACTTTTCATTCTTGTCTCTTTTTATCAGTTCTCTAAAACTGATTATTTATCTCTGGAGAGGGAGGAAAAAAAAAGTAAAAGGCCCATTACAAACCTCTGGCCCAGATCTGCCAGTCTTAGAGTTTTAGTTAGTGTGGAAAGTGAAACTCCTCTGGAAAGAGATATAGTGGCTATGGTTGTTCACTTTTTAATCTATTTGTTTTTGATATAATATGCTATTTACTGTTTAAGGACCTTTCATGTTGCTTTAAATTGAAGTTTTTAAAACGAGTCTAGCATAAAAAGCTCTAAGTGACATAGGCTGAGTAGAAAAATACAGCATCTTGTACAGACAGCCTTTGTTCACCACATTACAGTTGAAAGAAGTGTAGAGCAGGCTTGGTAGATAACCTGCCTTCTTAAAACAAGAGGGTTTCTAATTTCCACACATCCTAATCACAGTCACATTACTTCACTCTCTGTACCAGACCCCTCAGGGCTGGCTCTAGGTTTTGCTGTGAAGTCACATGTGTGGGGCCTGAGGCATTTTTCCACTTTACTTTTTTTCTTTTTTAATCCTTTTGCCGGTTGGGACTCTCTAACTGGCTCTGTTGTCATGGGTGGCTGACTAGGGTGGTAAGGAAGAGAGCAGCACAGGTAATCGCTCTCAAGGTTTCATACTTGTTTTTTTTCTTATGAGGATGAAGATGCTGCAGTATGTGTTTTCTGAGGAAAAGGAAGCTTCTCCCCTCACCTCCTTTACCAGACAAGTGTGTGATTTCCAGGTAACGAATTCCCCTCTGTTTCCCTACTTTTTTCCTTTGCTGATTGGTTCTTGTGTGTGGTTGTACTATTTCTCAAAAAATTGACATGTGCCATCTGGCTCAAGGTATCTTTCTTCTTTCAGTTCTCTTCAATATCTTCTGTGGTAGCTGTTAGAGAATGTTGACGCCAGCAAGTGGCTATGACACTTGAAGAGGGGATTGTAGAGTGCTGAAGAGGATTTTCAAGAGTGATACACTCCTCACTCTGCTGAGAGCATATTCAGAAAGCCAGTGGGTCCTTTGGAGCCTGCATCTGCTTCCTTGGTTTGGAAATTTGGTCCCTGAAACAAAGGGATGCCAAATGTCCAGGGCTCAAGCAGATGGGAGACACTCAAAGAGAGATTGTGGGGCAGCTGTGGGGTGTAGAGGGGATACATGCTTTGAGATGACACCAGATAGTCTAGAGCCTGACTCTACCTTGTTATTAAAAAAAGAGGCCTTTTATAAGGCCATACTATGCATACTATGTTACAAAGGGAAAACTTTATCTAAGCAGAATGGTAGATAATATGTTTCTATAAAGATTTCATAAAGGTAAAGTGAATTTCACTCATTTAAAAAAGACTGTGTTACCACTATTTCTATATATATGAACAAGCCATACTGGTGTTGAAACCACATAAGAAAAAAATCAGGCCAACTTCAAAACTACACTTGGGATCCAAATAACACCACTGGGAGGATTTAGCATAATAAGTTTACCTGAGGTTGGAACTTGTGTTTGCAGTTGCGTGCCAAATGTGGTTTAAGCTCTAAGAAAGGGCTAAGATTTGTCATCTGATATTCATGAAAAACAAAGGAAGACTTTTTAATTTTGGTTTATTTTTAAAAAAATGCCAGCCTCAGATTGTTGGGAAAGCTTCAGTAGAATAATTTCTTAATCACCTTTATGTTCTCAGGCATAGCTGGCCTTCAAAGTCCATATTAAAACTCCCCACTGATTTCCTTAGGATTATGCCCCTCAGAATGGATGACAGAAGAAACAAATACTCATCAGGCCTCAGCCATTGCCTGGCAATCCCAAGGGATATGCCCCTCTGATCCCCACAAGGAAATCCTCAGACACCATTTTACAGGATAAGGAAAATCTCTTCTTTCCCAAGGATGACAGAGAGAAAGACAGACCATGTGAGGCGGGATGTGCCACTCCCTTTTTGAGACAAAGAGAATGCACTAGCACACGAGCAGCCAAGGGAAGGGAAGCCAGCAGAAGGCTTTTGTAAAAGGCTAGGATAGTTGGTGTGGATGCTTCAATGTAAACAGATACAAAAGTGTTAATGAAATAATGTGAAAATCCTAATTTTAGAGTGCAACAAAATGTCAACATTCTTTTTACCTTTTTACATACTTTAACACTTATGCAGGTGACTCCAGAGATAATTTTGATTTGAAAAATATATTTTTTAAACAATACGAGATATTTGTTTGCTTTTTTGAATTTGAGAGTGAAGTGAGTGTTATACAGGTGTGACTCTTGGGGATGGCACTAAACAGGGACAGGAGCTGGACTCAGTGGTCATTGTGGATCCCTTCCAACTCAGCATATTCTGTGATTCTGAAGTTTTATGATATTTTTTAATCAAATATACAAATGCTACATGAAAGAAATAATATTCTCATTCATACTTGCATTATACAGGTTGTATTCTGTGTAGTTTTGGCGAATTACTATTATATCAAATTGCTATTGGTATTGGAACAGAGTCTGAGATTGCTTTGCTTTGTAGTCTCCACTTAGTCACAGTCATAGAGACTCTGCTTCTAAAATCTGTTGAATATACTCCAATTCTAATGATAAAGTTATGGCATATTGACTTGCTTTATTTTATAGTACTTAAGCCAGCTAATTCATCACTGAAAGCTTCTATTAAAAAGAATTTTTTTGTTTTGTTTTGTTTTGTTATGTTATGTTAATGAACTCACCTTTGGTCGTTAGACCATTCTATCTGTCCTGTTTCAGCAGATATGTCCCATCTGCAATTGCTGTCACTCATAATGGCAGCTGTACTGGGCATTTATAGTGTGTTTATTGCCCTAGATTAATTTTAAAGTTTTTTATTTTTTTTTATGGTACCACAAAAGCAAGAGTTCCATCAACTTCTTATAATAAGTTTAAATATCAATGTAATAACTGCTAAGGGATTGCTGTCAGCTAAAAACTATATTCATATTATTTTGGAAAGTAGCTTGTGCAGCCTATTCTCAGAGGTCTTCTGTGGGGGACACTCCAGACCCTCCATAAACAATAATTTCCACCGCTTCAGTGTCTTCACTGTGAAAAAATTTTTGCCAGCATTTGACCTGACTTTCCTTTGTTTCAGTGTAGTACTGTCACTTTCTGTCATCTGGCTGTAGTCCTGAAATACAAACTCTTCCCTGCCTCTTTCCAGAAGGCTTTTAACATTTGAAGTCCTTGGTTTTTATGTCCACTCATTTTCTTTTCCAGATGAAATCACCCCAGTTCAGATTTCTTTGCAGGTGACATTTCCCAAATTTCTGATCATTCCCATTCCTCTCCTTCGGACACTTTTGAAAGCTGCTGTATCTTTTTTGAAAAGTGATTTTTTAATGGGGTCCCTGCCAGCGTGCAGCTGAGCAGCATGATCACTGCCTTATCTTACAAGAAAGCTTCTGTCTGCTCAGCTCCCAACAGCTCAGCCCTCTGGCACCCAGATATGCTTCTGATTTTCTTTCCCACAACTCTGGGGGGAGAGAAAAAGAGAGATTGTCCCTCATTCAAAATCAAGCTTCAGTCTTATGTTGTCTGCTCCTACCTAGTGGAACCTTCAAAGTTCTTCAGGAGCTGCTTAAGAGGGAAAGAGAGTCCTGGATGTTATCTTTCAGAAGAGAATGGAAACCAAGATTTTCCCATGTACATGAGACATGTTTGACCCCATAAAATTCTCTTTCTCTCTCTGTTTTCCTTCCAATATGAAAATCCCTTAAAAATGCAAAGTTTGGTTTTATCTTATTTTCTATTTTTTTCTTGTGTAATTATTTGCATTACTAATTTAAGTGAATGTGTTATGAAAGCATCATTTTAAACCAAAAAAGCACAGAAAATCAAAAACTTGATCTTTTTTTTTTAACCATTATTTCTTCCAAAATGGCTTGCATCATTCAGCACAAAATTATTTTTCATCTTCAGGTCAGTAAAAATGTTGTGAAAAACCCTCACTTAATTTTTGAGTGATTGTTCTCCTTCTTGACTTGACACATTTGAGCAAAATAACTCAGAAAATTCTAATATAATTCTGCCACTTATGTAAATTCACTCAGATTTTGCATCAGGATATCTGGTTGGTTTTGTTTGCAGCAGCATGTTTTGAATATTTTTAAAAAATTGCATTATTTTAATCACAGAAAACACAGACTTAGGTGCCTCACTCCCTTAAAGTTAACAGAAAACTCCCTTGAGCTTCTTTTGGGAAGGGTTGAGCCTTTAATCTGTGTTTGTTTAATAATAAAGTCCCTGAGATAGGCTGGTAGATAAGTTTCTTTGAGACATACTTGTATCAGTGTTCTCATATACCCTGGTTTCTTAGACTGCTTAAGCAGGTACTGATGATTTTGCCACAATGATGTCCTCCTGAGCCTCTGGTTTGTCTTTCTGTTCCTATTTCATGAAGGTAAATATTTTGCAGCAGAAGCGTGAAAATGTATATATTTATTTATATATATGTATATGTAAAATGAGTGATTCATAATTAGTCTTCTGTTTTCTTACTCCATTAAATTCCATTCCACATGATCATTTCTGAACAAACATTTGCTGTCAATATTTGCTGAAAAAGTCCAACTCAACCAAGTAAATAAAAACATTAGAAAACATAATTTTGTTTCTTCATTCAGCTAAATCCATTAAGACTTTAACACAAGTAGAAACTAAAGACAAAGGGAATTTCTTAAACTATGAAGGCCTGTAGCACATTTGCATTTTGAAATTAATTGCTGACCTAATTATTTGTCAGTAGTAGGATAAGTTAATCAAATATAACTTACAGTAAAGCTTCTAAACACCCACAGGATTTTCTCCCTCAGAGTAAATTGTCATAGTGGTCCAGTTTGACAATCCATTCTCACTGTCATCTTGCGACCAAAGGAAGACTATCTGCGAAATGGTACCATATGGAGACACAAGAGAGAATAAAATACTTAGATCTCCTGTACAAAGGCATGATAAGCTAACAGTCACTAGAGGAAGTCAGGAACGACGAAGCTTTGAAAAAAGAAATACCCTGCCTTTCAAATCCATTTAGATTTATTTTTATACTCTCTCCAATTTGGACTAAAATAGTCTGATAATAAATATGCATATAAAATAGAAATCAAACGTATTGTGCAATGTTTCATTTCTAGCATATCTGTGGATCTGCATTTCATGCTTAGCATTAGTTTGATGAAAAGGCCGGTATTGATAGACAAGACTAGGACCTTTCCCTCTTCATCTCATGGAAACTGACTTTGTTATCCCCAAATAATATGTTGCAACCAACCACTTCATGACCTGAGGCTAAGAATGCACGATTTTACTTCAAAATGCGCTTGGAAACAAAATCTGATGAAACAATCAGGTAATGTGACCAATGCATTATTTTCAAAAGGCATACCTAGGCATTTGAGCTAGAAATACCTCATCAGTAGTAATATGAACTACTTCATCGCTTCTGTTATTACAGTACTGCCTCTCTCCTGTCATCTGCTGGCAATGGCAACCCACAGAAAAGGATGTTTTTCTGATCATTTTGCACTCATTAAATACAGCTGTCACAATAGCGGATGCGAGACTGCATACAAAACTTTTATGCCACGTCAAAATAAAGCAGAAACATTTTAAAAAGATCTGAAACCTTTGAAGCCTTTTCTTGAGAAATATTGAAATATTGCTTTTTGTTGTTGTTGTTTGCGACAATTGAAAATGTTCCACAGCTACACACATTAAAACTCACTGCAGAACAAAACATCATCCATCAAAATTAAGGAAAAAAAGAAAAAAAATGGAGAAAAAATAAAACCAAACCAAATCTCTCTGAAGCACAAAGTGTTTGGTTTCTGAGAGTCTGAAGTTCTGGTTCATCACCTGATTTCTGGGGCTGAACATTCATTGAGTTTCAAGATCTCAAGGGACCTGACATTTAATTCTGGATTATGGATGAAATCTGCCCTATAAAACTTCCAGCTGAGTGAAAACATCTTCCCCTAGTTCCCCATTCTGAGAAACAGCTCCCTTTCAGACTAAGCAACAGTAAATTCTGTAGTTGTTTGACATTATTGCCTTAAAAAAAATATTTAAAAGGTCATTGTGAATGACCCCAAAACCATTTGGTGACCGGTGTGAATAGAAAACCCCTTATGAGTAGCATGAGTAATTTCTCTTGTTTGGATGCAAGTGTGTTCTGAAATACTGTACCATGCAAGGTGACCTATTGAAGACTTTGGTTACCCCTTAAGAGCTGCAAGAAAGCAATAATTTGCACCTGTCTTGAACCTCCCAAATTCAGAATTGCATTATCGTAAAAGAATAAAAATTGTTAACTTTGAAACATCTCCTTGAGTTGATGGCTACTGAGAAGCAGGTCAGTTGAGAAGATTACAGATTTTCAAAAATACTGAATTTTCCAATGACACCAAATTGTGGGTAAAATAGCTAATCATATGACCAGACTTAAGATATTCAGGATGGCTGATATTAAACTTCTCTCAAGAGACTGCTTCAAAGACAGGATGATACAGGTATAAAGCAATGACTTCTATTACTTGCAGTAACTCATTTAACAAAAATGAGATCCATTTCTTTGTAGTAAGCCTGCTCTTTGTTGTAAATCTGCCTTCCTGAATGTACGGGCCTGGGCCAATTATGTGATTTACTTGTTGTGAGCTTTCCATTCTCTTCTCATTTTTAAATTGAAATTTTTGCCTGTGCAAATGATGAGAAACAATGTGCAAGTGCCTGTGATTTTACACACATGTGTACATCTAGAGGCATCTTTAACACATACCTGAAAAGTTCTTCATGCTCACAATCCTGCCAGCAGTAGGACACATGGAAAGGAGGCCCTTGGAAGCCATGGCTGGTCTGGAACAGCCCCAAGTTCTCTCATTCCCCCTACAAAGTGCAAGCACATGATGGCCAAAGGGAGGCAACTTCCAGCATTTGTGTGGCTGGCACCCATGCAATGCAATCTGCTTTCATTATGGGGAGCTAAGTGTGTCTCCATGAGATTTGGTGACACTTACAACTGTTGTGTGGAGATACTATCAGCTCCCTCACTCTCTCTCTCCCCCTCCTCTCTGACTTGCTTCTTCCTGATGCAACTATTTCTTGCTCCCTCTACTTCTTTTCCTGGATACCTTTTATATTGTCCTTTACCTTTGCTGATGACATATTTTCTGTGGTGAAAGAAAGAAAATTGTGTCCCTGGCTTTGGAAAAAGGAGAAAGACAGCATAAATCTTACTCCAAGAGCATATTCTCCTAGAGCAGCAGTTTTGGTTAGATGGCATGACAGAATTTGTGAGTGAGAATACCAACACTGGGAAGAGCATTGCTGAGCTCTTGTTTGCAATTACTGCCTACCATCAACATTCCTGGCTCATGCAGTCCCAAGATCAATTCATCTGATATCCCAGACAGAGTCCGCTTCCCAGATTGCAGAAAACTTTTTCAGACAGCACTAGACTCCATAAATCTGAATCTCAGGGCACTAATCCCAGCTATGGCTGTAGGGTCAAGTCACTTTGGGACTTGAGTGAATGGGGATAAATCACAGTGGAGTAACCAGTGGAAGGAAATACAGTCAGAAGAAATCTCAAGCTGGAGGTTGTGAATGAGTATGAACAGAAATTAAGGTAAAGATGGAGAATTTGGCATGCAGTACAGGGAAGAAAGGAGTGAGAGAATTCAAATAAAGGGCACAAGTAATGAAAGAGAGACAAAACAGAGGAAAAGGAGGAATATGAAAACTGAGAAAGAGAAGGAAGACTGCAATAGAGGGAATGACAATACATGAAGTGGGAAAACCTTACTGGGAAAGTTGAGACAAAGGGAAGATAAAACCCATGTGAAACATCTATAAGCAACATATTGTGTGCAGCTACTCCTTTTCACCAGCCCAGAGTTCACTTTCTCTCTCAACATCAGAATTCTCCTGCTGGCCTTGGGCCAGCTGAGATGCCCCACTGATGCCCTGGCTGTTCCTGTTCCTCCCTTCTGGGATCTGTGTTCCTTCCTACTGCCATCCCATACCAGGTCAATACTCTCAAGTGCCTGGCCAGCTCCTGTCTTATGGCTTTCAGAACTAATTTCCAGACTGGACTGTAATCTCAAAATCTGCCCGAGAGGGCACAGTATAATCCCAGCTCTATTTTAAAGGTCAAGTCCTGCAGGTTTTGCTTGGTTTTGACTCATTCAGACCTTCCAGTGATTTCAAAAGCCATTGACCTAGATAAGGGAGGGCAGAACTGGGGCCACAGTCAGATTTCCAGTATAAAAAGTGACTTTATTTTCAGATGGCTTCACTGTACCTGCCGTGAGGTTTCACTGCTCTATATTTCTTATTGAAATACGTGGAAGGTTCTGTACATCAAATACATAAAAGATTTGACTTTTAATTCCTACCATGTATTTTGGTAAGAGGAATTAAATGTCAAAACACAAAAGCAATTATACACTTAATGGTAAAAAACATATAATCAAGTCATTTTTTATATTTTCAAATTGCTGGGATTGAAATAAAAGGGCAAGAGGGTCTTACTTTGACATTATAGGAGATGGAAAGGCACATTTGTATCCTTTTGTACCTTTTACAAAATGAATATGCCTGTAATCAGACCCATTCATTTTGAAACGGAGATTGTGCTTTAGATCTATGACATATTTGCGAGGGTGTTGAGAAAGTATCTAAGTAAAATGTGCCATAGGAAATCAACTCTGGGGAAATGCAGTTATTCTTCATGATGATATACAGCTAGTTTGGCATAACACGGGGTGAAACAAAGCCTGCTTGTATGGGCAAGTCATGGCTGTATATTTAAACAATCATCACTACAGCAAGGTAGGCAAAATTTCCTAAGTTGGGAAATGTCCAAGCTTCAAATTGCTGGAGACTGGGACAGTGATCTGGGACACTCTGCTAGGAGGTTATCAGCTTCTCCTCTGCAGTAGCAGCTGCTGGAGGCCACTTTGGGGTTTAAGACACAGGTCTGTTTTTTAGCTTTGCCTTTGTCAGGTTAATTTTTATGCCCCTTTCCTCTGTGTACCTACCAAACTTAAAGGTGGAAGAAACTAAAGTCCTGGTGGTGCCTGTGTTCCTAGATTTGAAAATATTGGCTAATTGCTGGTGTATCTGTACATTCCCTAGCACAGTGAGCCACTGCTCCTATTGCTATGCTGATAAGAAGCTCTCCAGCAGTGAGCTTCCAGTCTGGGCACAAGGACAGGGTGCATCACAGCTCTCTCCAGCCTGAGTCGGTGCCTCTCCTTCCCTGTGGCTGGGGATGACTGATGCACGTTTACAGCCCAATCTGTCATTTCTCTATTGCAAGACCCCCTGCAGCTGAGACAGACTAGAGGTACAGAAATGGACTTCTGTTAGTTTAGTGACAACAGAGTGCTAAAATGTCTCTTTTCCACTTCTACAGCAGTTTATGAGGGAATGGAAGACCTACTAGTGATAAATATTGCTACATTACTGCAATATGGCAATTGCTTATACTCACCATTAATCTTTGTGAGCCATTAGATCAAATTCCTTTTTAACACTGCAAAATCTAAGAATGTATCCTGTCAAAAACATAACAGATGTAAAGTGTGGGATCATTCCTCCATCCCACAGACTAGTGTACTCATATTTTTCCAAATTCTCAGGTCTGATTCCTGCTTATGATGATATTGCATTTGTGAAGCTGCGAAAAAACACTAAAAATTATTATGAATGTCCCTGCTGTGTAAGTAAATATTTACAGCTAAGTGGCTCTGATATGAACTAAATAAAAACTCCAAACCAACAAATTCAAAAACATAACTTAAAATGCCCCAAAAATGAAATTCAAGCTGAATTAACAATCAGACCATATTTTTGCCATTCTAAAGAGGAAATATTTATTTGGACCATAGTGATTCCCGTATACACAGAGAGTTGGCAGTTTGCTCAAAGCTTATCCAGGTAGACAACTTACAGAAAGGATTTCCATCAATAGATTTACATCAGCAACCTGTCCAGACAGAATGTGGGTTATTTACTATGGAGCTGGGCAAACTAGGGTTCTATTTTAAAGTAAGCTCTAATTTTCGACTTCCAAAGTTAATTTTTTTTGCTAGAAATGCATGTTTTCTTGCTGACTCTTTTATAAAGGTATCATAGAGATTAAAAACCTGATCCCAACAAAAATAAAGGTAAAAATAATCATTTGAGGAAATATAGAAAACTGGCCAGTTAATCTGGAGATCTGCTGCTTCTGTAGGCTGCTTTACAACTATAGAGGTCCTAAAAACACAAAAAGATTTTCAGAGAATACTTGTATTTATATTTTATGACTTAGAAATGGTAGAACATCTATTTTGCGTGCCAAAGCACTATTATTATATATCTATATTTAGCTTTCACTTTTAGTGGGTGTTATCTGCTAATGTATATTTTGTGGAGTTTGAAAATTTAATGGAAAATTGTGGTATTTTTCACTTTCTGTAAAGAGTGCGCTTTTGATAACAAAAGAGGAAAAAAATCCCCAACCTGCTAAATGGTACTTACTGAGAAAGAGGTTTGTCTTTTCCAGGGAGAAGGAGACATTGAACTTTTAAATCCTACTTGTAGGGTTGCAATTTTACAGGGAAAAAAAAAGGATCAGAAAAATCCCATTTTTTACAAAAGTTAATTTCTCTCAAATTTGGGCCAATTGAGTTCTAGCATGTTGTGTTTCTCCACAGAGAGAATGCAATGACTGGCATAAGAAGTCGCTGAAAACAAATTTTTTTGATGGACATTTTCTGTCACCCTTTACCATCACAGCATACATTTTCCTGTCACATAATATACAGTAATTATATGGATTTTGCTCTTTCCAAATCAGAGGAATGCTTCCTTACTTGAACGGAGGGGCCACAGACTACTAGTCAACCTAAAAATCCTGTTAGCATTACATCTCAGCATAAATAAAGAATTTGGATCAGTGCCTTGTTAGATCACCGCTATTTCTAGCTCACTGAGTAAAAAGAGCATTTTTTGCAGCCTAGTTTGATAAGTAAAAGGTGTCTTTCTCACCTGCGTGCACTCTGAATTGTCACTCTCATTCTTTGTTCCTTTGCATGCGGCTGTTGTCAGCTCCCGAGTCACAGAACCACTTGCAGGAACGGCTCGGGAGAGTTTCGGAAGAAAGGAAAGGGAAAAAAGGAGCCGCATTTTTATTTAACGGGAGAAGGAGAACATAAAGAAAAGAAAGGTGTTCTCAAGAACGTAGCCTGCAGCCTTGTCAGGTAGCATTTCTTCAGATGGTTTTTTTCTCACCCCTTTCCCACCCCAAGATCTCTCTTCATCATTTTTTAAAACATGTCTTCTGGGACAGAGACATGAAAGTGAATTGTGGGTCAAAGGCAAGAATTAGGGGTTGCCAGGTCTGCTTTCTGATGGCTTTACTTTATCTTTGTGTCCAAGCTCTTGCCAGTTAGCAGGTACGGTGGGTTATCCATTCCAGTCACATCATTTTCTGCTTGATGACAAGCATCACACCTTCATCCATCACATTTACATTTCAAACTGCCACACTGCTCTATTGATTAATTATTTAGCAGCTCTTGGCCACTTGTGAGCGTTTCTGTGCTCACGTTTCACAGGGAAGGTCCATTCTTTTTATTTATGTGCAGTTTTGTAAAGCTAAAAAAAAGGGTAGAGCCTTTATCATACACACATTCCCCCAACCCATGTGTGTGTACCTGTATCTATGCACACATGTGTGTGAATATTTATGCATGTGCGCTTGTGTGTGTGTGCATGCCAGTACAATTAGGTGCACACAGGGAGCAGAAGCAGGTAACCTGATCAATAAGCACATGCTCACACTGATAATAGATTTCTGAGTTTTCAGAGCACTGAACAGCAGATCAATGAGACCTTGCAGGTGTGCTGGAGCTGGGAATTGCATCAGCTACATCATGCTCCCTACAGACCTGCAGGGAACACAGACATCGTCCTCTGGGCTTTGTCACTTTGAGCAAAAACAGGTGGAGCATTTTTGCAGGTGCCTGCTAATGGCTGTGTTTCTTCCACATCACAGTCAGGAAAGGGCAGCCTCTGAACAAGACAGGCGATCCAATTCAACCTAGGGCTCAACTTGCTCCAGAAAATCACTCCATCTGTCTTTTCCTCAGTTCTCCTTTCATGAGATGCAGAATGAGGATCTAATCTTATAGTCCTTTTGCTTGCTTTATTTTATTGTCAGATAAAAGTCCACTGTAAGAATAAAATCTACCTGCTCTACCTGAAAATACGGGTTAGCTCAGAAATCTGTGTTTGATGGAATGACATTTTGCCTTGCTTCTGCTCCCTGGGGCACTCTGCTTTAGCTGGGTGCTATCCTGACCCACCACCACTCCTCACCCAGCAGTTCCCATGAGAGCAATCTGTAATCCTTTGGTGTCCCAGGTGGTGGTACATTTCAGACTACCCTCTGATATTGGTAACTGCTTGCCCAAAGATTAATGTCTCTAGAAGGAACAGCTGCAAGAAGAAAGAAAGATGCACCGTTCCACGATGGGAAGAGAAATATTTTCAATAAAGGCTTTGGAAAAGTTGTCACACATTTACGTTGGAGCAGAAAATGAGGTAATCTTGAAATCTAGAATTAATTTAATATTTGGACCTGTTTTAATTTTTCTGTTTTCTTTTTTTATAAGCTTATTATGGATATAACCCAACAAATATAAACAGAGTTATTATTTTTCCTGTTATTAATTTTCAATGCTTTTTGACTTATACAAAGCTTATTAAAATAAAAAAGAGTAGGTATATTAGCTTTGCAGGTTCTGGTGAGACCTTTGAAGAGCAGGAACTACATGGCTTTCATTACTCCATCTCTCACATTTCTGTGTTTATCCTTCAAATTGTAAAAGTAATGTAATACCACTGATTTTTTGTTAATGGACAAGATTTGTGTCAGTATTCAGCTCATTATGTGAATGCTGTTAGGCTAGGGTTGGTCAACATTTTTCTGTCAAAATTACTTGGTTTATTACAAAGCACATTGGGAACTTGAACAAGGTGAGTGAGTATCCTATTTATATTTACAGTACAATATTATACCACTCATACAATGCCACAAAACCATCTGCTTGGTCTGTTAGTGTTGCTAGTACACTATTTAGCACACAGAGAATAACTGACTGGGTCCTTTCTATTGAAAATATATTGAAATAAAAAAGTGGAGTTAGCTTTAGTTCTGACTTGTAGTGGAGAATTTGGTTGTTTGGTCAAATACAATCCCCATCTCTGAGTGCAGTTAAAGGAAATATTTAATGTTTAAATTAAATATTTTTGCCATTACTTCGCCTCTATATTTGCTTCTCCTCCTGCCTCATTCGGTCTCTTTCTGTCTCTATTCTAACAGAAACTTCTGTGAAGTGCAAATTAATCTACTTGTATTTTTTCAGCTCTTTCCAGAACTTCTCCACCTCTGGCATTTAAAGTAACCACTTGATGCTGACAATCCAGACATCTCCCATATCTTCTGCATTGTACAGCACCAAAACCACCAAAACTAGTGCCTGACAGAGAAGACCATTGAATCCCTGCTAGTGAGGGAACTATTTCTCTTGCTTTAGTGTATAAGGGAAGAAGGGAATGCAGCATGTAACTCCACGGAGGGAAACACAGCAATGGATGGTCTTATCTGTGAGAAATCCTGACCTCCCAATTTCCAGTGTGCTATGAATATTCACAGAAAAAAAAATAATTTCTGCTTGTTATCCTAAGTGATTTTCACTGATATAACTTCTGCGTGTGAAATGTCATTGCAGCAGTATTAAGTTATAATTAGAATAATTAAAACTTCTAGTAATTTGAAAATCAACACTTTCATGGTTAACCAAAGGTGATGATATCTCTTACCGCTATGGTAAACAAAGTGTCTTATAATGTAAAGTGCAAAAATGAAGGACAGAATGCGAACTTTTAACTTATACAGCAGAGTGGTTTATCTTACATGAGTAACTCTAAAAAGAAAACAAAAATACTGGTACCGTGGCAACACTTGATAAGATAACAGATATTATCTAGACCTCTCTGTAGTACTCTTCCACTGTAAAGATCCAAAATTAAAAGAAGACAAATGAAATTCTTTCTCTAATATTGTCATCATATAGTGACAATGTACTGATCTGCCTTTTAATTTCTCCCCTTCATTTCTCTGAAATACCCCTTCTCTGTAGAATAACAGTCTCTTTTACATACCTGTTCATTCATTGATCCTAAAACTATCTGATACAGGGATGATATGGCAGCAAAGCTCTTCACACTTTTTCTTTTTTTGCTTGCTTCATCTCTTCACATTTGCAGTTAACAGGCTTGCTCTGTATAAAAAGAATAAACACAGTAATTGGTTTGCTATAGGTGTGTTTAATTTATATTGTCAAAAATAAAAAGGAAAAACAGCACTTAATTTTTTTTGGCTAATGAGATGAGGAAAGTATTTTCATAATTGAAAACAAAGAGTCTTTTAAATAAGAGCGTTATATTAGAAAGTGAGAACAATATAAAATAGACCCCTTTCAGTGAACTCTTCTCTAAAATGCCAAACATGATAACAAACCAAACCAATTAAGTTATGAGTGGACTTCTTACTTTACATAGATTAAAATACATAAACATAAAACTCTCAATATTTTGCAGGATTACACAGCCTCTAATTCTTATTTATTAATTTTATTCTTATGAATTACCATTTCTGACTGCATGAATACTAACCAGCATATCCTGCTATTACCACTAATGAGAAAGGTTCCAAGAAATTATATGACAGATACAAAAAAATCCAAATAGAGCAACAGGTGGTTCTTGATATTATCAATGAATACAGCATTACTTTACCATTTTGAGGAGCAAATATTCAGCTGTTGCTGAGAAGGTGGTCAATTGCATCATCAAACTTAGCTGGCTTCCACTTGGTGAGTTCATTAAAGATGAACATCCACATCTTATTGTCAATCCTTTTCTGCAAAAGAATTATTGTTAATCAATTTTGATATAAAGGTCAGAGAAGAAGAATGCTATGTCTTTTGCCCAAGCCTGGTCATTCAGTCAACAGAAAGAGTTGCTGCTGTATTTTCTAGAGGAATTAAAAAGACAGACAAATAAACAGCCAACCAAACCATGAAATGGCAAGTCATAGATCAAGCTAATAGTGCAGTGCTGTTGCCCATGGAGAACAGCACTCCTGCTTGACTTCCCAGCTCATGGTGCATTTGCTCTTACTTTATTAGCCAAGCAGGACTCACTTCTGCCTTCCCAGTACACCCAGAAGTCCTAGAAATACAGTGATGGTTCCATCTGTTATGGTAATTGCATTAACAACTATTCTTTTCAATCAAGGAATCCTATTTATCAGATGGTCACCTGTAGCAAGAAATCCCACATGTTGACCACATGCAACACAACTAATTTCTTTTTATTTCTTCTAAATTTACTATCTCGTACCATTTAACTACACTGACTTCCCTCTTGTTCATAAGTAATGTGACAGAAAAAATAAGGAGGTCATGACTCATGGTTTAATTAATCACTTCCAATTAATCACACCTTCAGGAGCCTCAAATAGGTACAATATTGAGAAACAGACTTCCTTGCTGTGCCTTTTACATATAACATTGATCCAGAGAAAAGGGAGAGTGCTCCTGTCCCTCAGGGGTGTAACTCTCTGCTTTGCTTTGCTGAAGAATTACAGCAGGATTGAACAGAGAAATATTTTTGGGAAGCAATCACCTCACAGGAATACACATTTCTACTTCATTCCTGCCTTTTCTACAAAAATATTTGGAAAACATGCAGAAGGCATTGATCCATAGATGCACAAACCCAGCTGTTTGTACAGTCCATCTTAACATTAATCTGGCTGAAACTGATAAACAAAAAGACACCGTGGCTTGTGAGATGAGCTCATTGTAGGTAACTGCTCTGTACCTGCACAGCAGGAAAAAAAGTAAATTATGGTCTGTCTCTTGTTTTCTCCACACTAATAAATCTTAAATTATTTCCTAAAGAATGCAGAGAGGGAACACCCTGACTCAGAGCATTGTGTCCAAGTGGGGAGGGTCTCTGCAGGGTGGCAGTGACAAATCTGACTGTTCCATGTCTTGAGACAGACCTGGGGTAACCTCATACTCAGGCTGTTAGGTAAAACATTAGTTTACAGCATCACTGCTGGGACTATGATAATGCTGCAAGAGATACGAACAGGGCTATTGATTTATTTGAATCAAATATTGTTGACATCAGCCAGAGGAGAGGACTCCAGGTCCCAAACTGGCTAGGGACCACTTTGCTGAAAAGAGCTATGATTACAGGTAATTGCTAGAACTGTAGTATGGACCTTGTGTTCGTGACTTTCTATGTCCATCAGTTTTTTTTCCCCCTCTGAGATTTCTACCTTTCCCTCCAGAGAATACAAAAGACAACAAATACCACACAAGAAAGCACAGTCACTTCTGCAAAGTGGTGCAGTGCCATACCTAGACCTGCAGGGAGCTGGCCATTAGGCTGTGTTTCAATAACCTTCTTTAGGGACAAAACTATGGTTAGAAGAGGTGCAAGGTGCACAAATGCACCTTCCACTTCCCCCTGGTTTTATCTCTCTCTAGAAAATGGGAGGTCTTGGAAGAAGGAAAGTACTCTAGACCCTATTGACTTCAGATGTCATTCCTTCCACTTTTTGAGAGGGGAGACATCCTGAAGCCCAGAATTCTGGTTGCATGTGAGACCTTTTTCTGCCTCAGCTGGAGCTGTGGCTGAGATGTGAGCTGAATTTCACAGTAAATGCAGCAATCTAATAAGATAGTGCCTTGATGTTTGGTGGTTATCTTGATTTTGGTAGTGCAGTGGGAAACGTTTTGTACTTCACATAAATGACACAGGCACAGCAATGTGAAAAGTCCTGTAGGAGCAGCAGCAACTGCATACAGCTTTTAGGCTAAGGATTAGCTGCCTTTAAGTAGGTTGCCCTCACTAGATTGAGAACTGATTGCAATACCTTCTTGTCTTTTCTTTACCTCAATCAATAATTTTTAGGGTTCAAAATAATCAGAGTGCAATAATTCCTCCACAGGAACAGTCATGTAGTGATGAATTACATATTCCAGTTTTCATAAGTATGAAAGAAGAAAGGCAAATTTTGAACAAATTCTGCTCTACTGAGGCTGAATTTTTGTCTCTGCAGCTGACAGGTATGTGTCTTTACTGCCTTGCAAAGTTTAATACTTAATGGGAATAAGCTTTGGTAACACAACAGACATTAAAAAACAGACAAAGCAGCCGAAAGCTCAGCTGTATGTGTCCTGTGTGTGCCTTTAAATACTATTAAAATTGAATTTGACTAGACTTGCTCAAATCAGACCTGTTATCAACAACACATTGTCTCAGGAGACCAACATTTGTCCAGTTAGGGCTTCCTTCATTAATCGTCCAGCATCAAGCAAGCCAAATCCAAATCTGTGGAGAAAAAGCAATTAGATATTTTAAGCAGTGATAAGAACACCACAAATAATCAATTTCTATGGCATTAACAGCTACCTGGCCCAGAAAAAGTCTATAAAAGCTAGAATTTATTGCAGAACACCAGACAGCTTACAGAGCATTGATTCTTAGTAGTATGCATAGATTGCTGGATTTAAAGAGAAATCCCTAATGGTTTTTACCTTTAATTTTTTTCCTTTTAAAGGGAAAACAAGGATAAGGTGTTCATAAGGCCAAAATGCAGAAAAAGAAATTTCTAAGGACTGTTAAACAGAATTTGTCTGTCTTTCAGATGAACAGAATACTACCACACTGTTTGATGGCAATTATATGCAATCTAATGCATAAACTTCGTAAAAGATGAGATGCCAAATACAGTCATAATAGTCTATGGTTAGAAAAATGCATTAATTTGGCTTATTTTTAAAACATCTATTGTACCTGAGATGCCAACAGACTAGAAACAATTTTTGCATTTGTTCTGCTTGTGAATCTCTAGGATTTAAAGCCTTCTATTCCTCCATAGCAATCTCATATTAGAGTATTTTATTCTGCATTAAACTTTGTGATTTGTAGATATTTATAAAAACAAAACAAAAGGTAGTGCAAAATCCAGCAGGCAGAGCATTATTGTCTGCAGTGGAGAACAAAGTTTAAAAACCTATTTAGTCTTAATGTTACCCAAACCAAATTTTTGTATGTTGATATTATAGCTGCCCTTTAAATGTTGAACCAAAACATATCTGAACTCAGATTTCTAGACCAACGGTCTGAGAAGTCAAAAGGGGCTTTGGCACTCTTCTCATCAGACCCTCTGTATATACATGCACTAGAATCTTTCCCAAGTAGCTGGATTAAACAATGTCTTTCAGAAAGATGTCTAATCTCATTTTAAAGACTCCAAGCTATGGTGAGTCCACCTCCTCCCTGGGTAAGCTCTTCCAGTGTTTAATTACCCTTACTGCTAGGAGACGGTGTCTTATTTCAAGGTTGAATTTGTCTAACAGCATTCAAATACTGAAAATGTAGGGTGTTTGAGAGAGAGCAAATATAAGTGACAAGATACACTTTATATTAATCCTAAATCAAAAGATTATGGAAATATTCAAAACATGACAACTAAAGCTCTATTTTGGCAAACATTTATGCAAGGGGGTATCTCTCTGCAAAGGAAATGGTTTTCTTTCAATTCTGCAAGCTTACACACGTGTGTAAAGTTATGCCAGGGCTTCAAGTGCAATTCAAAAAGAGGCATCTGGAGTGACTTTTGCTGAAAAAATAGTAGGCATTAACTAATAAATACAACCTCCCTCCATTTCTGCCCCCTTCTAAGCAGCCTTTGTGGCTGCTTATAAATACTAGAAGAAAAAGTGAGAAAGCTTCTTTATTGCAGAAATGTGATTGCTGCCATAGGGGGATGACTGCTGAAATCCAAACACAACCCAAGAGGGGAGAGAGGGAAAAAAAAGGAATGAAAAAAAAAAAAAAGGAGAGTTGTCAAGATAATTAAAACTTTGCAACAATTCAGTAGTGGTGCTGATAAAAACAGCACTGCTGGCTGAATGCAAATAAGATGGTAAAGGCCCTGTTTGGATTATGGTAATTACTCAGTCTGAAGTTAGCTTCAGCCACACACACATATGAGCACACACATACACACACAGCAGTGGAGTGGAACCTGACAACCATACTTGGCGTGCGATCATAAAATTCCCTGGCACGCTCTCAGGATGCCATGTGGAGCTATTTGTACAGTTAGGTACGGGACTCTGCAGCGCAGGAAATACCAGCGGAAGCACGGCTGACCCGCCTGGCCTTCAGCGAGAGCCTGCCCCCCCGCTTATTGCTGGCCTGCATTCAAAAGTGATCTCTGGAGAAGGCAAATCAATCGAACACATGTTTGGTCTAAAAATGTCATTTTGGAATATGTTAAGATATTTCCTTACATTAGACCATTTTGTTTGCCCCAAAGATTTGTCAAGTGCAATTGAATGCATACACATCACAACACATGCCAGTGCCAGAACAAAATAATTTCAATGTGTCCTTTAGTACTCCGATAAAATGCAGGCAGTCGGTGTTGAAACGAGATGCCCTGTGAAAGTCTTGAGAGCACTGGCATTCTGCATTTCTTCCAGGAACTTGTTTCTTTAAAATTTGGGATCCATCCAAATGAGCAGATTTTGCGTAAGAATGAGGAAGAGGACCAGCTCAACCTCTCCTCTTGCCTTCTAGACGGAGGAGTTGAGGCAGGCTAATTTATGTGATGAAAAATCATTAAAGGAATTACAATTTCCAGCTCTGATTCCTAAATAATAAAGCCTTTATGAGGACAATATCATTACAAATAACCCTATTAATCCGTTGATTCAGCTTTAGAGCCAATTCTGATATATGACAAAGATGTGTTTCTTCAACAGTTTTCACAAGTTAATATTAAATAATATTGGCACACACATCATTTTTATTACTAAGTTCTTTGATTTGTTCACCCTGCACAGTCTCTGCAGCTGTGTGTTTTATGACCTACCCATCACAGGAGAAACTCCCATTAGCACAGGCACACAGCAGAGGAGATGTGAACTTTGCAATCAGCCTTGCTATCCTCACTCTGTTTTCTGTTAGTGCTGAAAAGGCTCTTTCGAGCAGATCAGAATAGTCACAGCCCCATCTGAAAGTGCACCCGTACTGTGAAGGGCAAGCTTCCCTGCCTGGCATGTTCAAAGTCTGCAGAGACTGTATCAAATCCAGATTTATACATGACTGTGGATGTCAAGATGCAGTCCTCTGACCAACAGGCTCCTGAGGGAAGGCACCCACACCTCCCCCTTCTCTCCCCTTCCCTCCACCTTCACCCCCACACTCCTTTTCTCTCTTTGCATTGACCCAGTGTGGTTGCTAAAACACAAAAACATACACACACGCACACACACACACACACACACACAAAGTGCATCAGTCTTGAAAGGTTAAGATGCTTGGGTTGCTGTACTTCAGCTGAGACACAAATTAGGTCTGTTTTGATTTGCTGTGGGGATCTTTTGCTGGTGTATATTTTCTCTTTTTCCAAAAAATGCTTCCTTGAAAGAGTACTTATCAGCTAATAGCCCAAAAATCAAAATTACGTGATATCTCTTCTGAAATTATCTCAGGGAAGTTTGCACAATGTCTTCTCTGAGATTTTTATCTTAATTAAAACAAAGATGTATAAGAAGGGGAAAAAAGAAAAAAAAAGAACATTAAAAACTGCCAAGCTCTCAAATCTTACCTGACAGTACTAATCCAAGACTTGCAATTGTACAACAGAGAAGAATGGTTGTAAATTAATAATTTCAGCTTAGAGATTAATTTTGATGTGGTTATCATGAAAAGGGTGGTCAATACAATTTAAATCTAAGACCTTAGCATCATCCTTTCCACTTCCTGCATTTTGTGCATATTTAATCACCTGTGGTTTCCTCCGACAACGTGCAAAAGTTGGGCTATGATTCTAAAGCAATCAAGAATGTTAAGCATTTCAGAAATGGAATAGCATTACTTCGCCATAAAATAAGAACATTTGTGAAGGATATAATATTGTATTATAAAGAAGGAAAAGAAATTGCAAAAGATTGCTGGATGTTAAAAGAAGTCTGATGAAAATGCACATTTATTAGTTCATATTAGACAAAAAGTGCTTTATAACTATATAGTGTTGCTATTGCGATAAATGTAGTATTTGTACCAAAATGCTCAGTTCTTCTCACTACTGAGAGATATGGGATTATGTGTCTTAAAATTGAGGAATAATGATAAGACTTAAAAGACAGATTGAGGACCTACAAGATGTTGAATTTTTTTATTATATCTCTATTTCTAGAATGAATAATAAGTTTCCGGACCCTTTAGTGGCTTCTGTACTGTGTGATTTTTTATTTTATTTTTATTAGTGTGGACAAATAAATTTTATTTGATAGCTTGTTGTATTTAAAGACAGTGTAAAACTCTCATTGCAAACAGTTGTTTACAGTGCGCTTTTCAGCACAAAGCTGTTTTAAAGCTCAATTGTGCATTTTGCAGATAAAGTGGGAAAACTAACTGAAGGCTGTATTGTAAGCAGTGGTTGCCGTGGAAACCCCAGTTTCAAGAGCTGGTTCTCCATTACCACTTAATTTAGGCTTCCTAATTGCATTCCACTAAATCGGTAGCGACAATATCTGCAGAGCAAAACTGCATGCCCAGTCTAGCGCAAACCTCTTTGAAACAGGCTTTTTGAAAGCCAGGAGCTATAAAAACTCAGCATGACGTGGAGCATATGAGAAACCTGTAGTTCAAATGTACTGCTGCTTGCTTTCTCATCCTTAGTAACTTCAGTGTGCTCCACACCAATCTATTAGTTCAGTCTACCTTAAAGATCATAAAGCTCTGCCATGTGGAAACTCATCTGTCCACCAACACATTGGTGCAAAATAGATTTAATTGTACTCCCAACCCAGTATCATGTCCATCTTATTTTACTACACACCAGCAGGTAGCCGGTGCAGAGCCGTACTTTCCTTGAACTGCCCTTGCTCCATAATACGAGGAGAACAATACTTTCTCAGTTTAAATCATTTGCCACCGTTCAGCTGTGCAGCAAGCCAGACCGCCCATATGTGACCTAAAGAGTGCCTTGTCAGAACCACTAGACATAAAAGCATTCCAATTATCGACCATACTGCTTTAATAGAGGAGGCAACTAATATGATAGTGTAAGTGATTCTGCCACTGAGAAGCTCTTCGTCACTGTCAGATTAACACTTGAGTTAAACTCTTGTAAATCAGTCACATTATGCCGTCGGTTGAGAAATAAACACAGACCTATTACTCTTAGAATTCCAGAGGGCTCTCCCCACCATCCGAGTTGCGCAGGATGTCCTATTAATCTGAATTTTGTCATGTTTATTATTTTGCAATTACTAATGTGGGTAACGTTGGAAAAATTTAAGTTGTCTACA